GCATTTAGCTCAAAGCATGGTTGTCCTACCATAAGTTTAGCCTCAAAGAGCCACTAGCATGGCTGACCCTCTGTAAAGGAAACCCTGCTCTGCCCCACTTGTTAGTTGTTAGACAATGAGACAATATTTTGGTGATAGACTAGGATTCAGTGTTAGCTCAGAAATAGCGCTGGTGTTTGCTTAACACCATTAGAATCAGAGCAAGATTATGGAAGTTAGACAGTGGCTCACATAGTCATATTTTCCCACACACCTTCTAGTGCATAACTGTTTCCTCTTCCTTTTATCATTGAGCTGACTATATTTACACTTCTGCGCTAACATCTGATAGCATAAAGTGTCAGTAAATAAACAACACGAAGACAAGATGAGCACACAGACATTACAATGTTGCATGTGTGGGCGTATATGTGTGAAAGAGAAAGACGAGAGAGGAAGAGCTGGTGGTGGGCGTGAGGTAGGTGTTTAGTCAGGTCTAGTAAGGAATCCATGTATTCACTCTCCCCTGCAAGGTGGGAAGAGGAGACAGAGAGAGAAAAAAAGGAAACGGCACCTGCTGCAACACACACAGTGCACCCATGTAATCTTGTGGGAGGAAATGAGGGGCTGGAGGCTGGTGGGTGGGATTACCAATGATTGAACCTTTTAAGAGCTCTCTAACTCTCTCCATTCTTTCCTCTCTCTCTCTCAGCCATTTCTCCATCTTTCTGCACTATATCCCTTCTATCCCGTCTCTCTCCCTCTCTGTCTCCCTGTCTAGCTCACTCTATTTTTTAACTTAATGGCAGTGACTTATGTTTCTTAGTGGGAGAGGTGCTGTGTATAGATAGAGCCGCAGAGTTAATCAATGAAATGCACTGCTGCACTGCAGGAGCTTTGGCTGAGGCCTTCCTAGCTCTACTATCCAGCAGACACACACATATATACACTCCGCACTCCCTGTGGCCTCCTACAGAGTCAAAGATCAAAGCACTGAAAGTAAAGGTAGACACACACTGCTAATATGCTAATGTATGCACAATCCTGGTATGAGATGCATGTGAGCCATTTCACCAGTGTTATTTATTGGCAAAGTTGAGGTGCCAAAACGGCTTTGGCGTACAGTAAGGAAAACCCCTGGTGGGCATCGAGGAAACCTTGGTCATTAAAATGTATAAATAACTTTCACCAAGTCATGTGTGTTCTTTATCAAACAGTTTCCAATTAATTAAAGTTCTGTTATTGTGAAAATGTAACTTTGAATATGAATCTTCACACCTGAGCTGTGAATTTTCACACAAGCCTCGGCTCATTTTCACAAAGGGCTTTACCTCATTGCCATAAAATGTGCTGTTGAATCGAGTGCATTTATTTAGGATGAACAGAATCATCAAAACTTCCCTGAATACCTGCACTTGGCAGTGAGCTAGTGAATGCATGCTCACCTCTGAATGCCCTGTCTTCACTTTGTAGGATCCTTAGGTCAAGGTGAGTGTCTGCATCGTAGGGGTCAATGTTTCAGCTCCACTCAGCATGCTGGGACGCCATGCATGTTTTCACGGCAGTCAATACGAGCTCGCTGCTGCCCAGCCTGTTTCTTTATCTTCACAGGGAGACACCCTACAATCTATCCAGTTTATCAGTAAATCCAAATTAAACAAATCTCACCACAGCTTGCGCCTGTCCTCTGGCGTTCCGCTCATTAATTAGACGTCTAAAAATATCAAACCCCTCCAAGACTTAATTAACCCATCGACTCCATTTGGTAGCTGGTGCATGCCTGTCTTTGGAGGGGAGATGAATGACTTTTATCAGTGTGTGTGTTTTAAGTGTGAATTTGTGTCTGTCTGGGTGTGTGTGCATGTTTTGAATAGAAGGCATCACATAAGGCTTACGTATTCTTAATTAACGCATGTCTATGTCCTTTTCTGCATGGGTGTGTTTCTGTGCTGTGATTCTTGTTGTGTAGGTGCATCTTTTTGTGCTTCTTTTTCTGGTAATTTGCCATAACCTTTTTTTCATGGTAACACCAGAGCTTTGCTGTGAAATTTGCTACAAGAGCTTTACAGACCTGGAGGACACACTGTAATCCCCATCAATTGTGCTAATGCCACAACATAGATGAAACATAAGAGTCAAAGGCTGCTTTGACCCAACATGCTCTGTGATTAACAAAGAGTGGGTTGTAATAAAGCCATAATTGATCAATTATTCAAGCCGTTTGGATTTGATGTGACACTTGTGAGAATAATAATCATGGGTGGGCGTGTATTGATGCCAAGGGTTAGTAGAATTAGTGTCACTGGGAAGTCATTCTTTCAGGATGTAAACAGATACCTTCAGTGCTGATGAGTTTTATGTCTTATAAAAGTGACATGTCTGAAAAGCTTCTGTTGAGAATTCCAGGTGGTTTTCATGCTTTTCCTGTACAAAACTGGGGGTTTTATTAGGGATAAGGATCAGTTTTTATTTATTTATGAATAATAATCACATTTCGAATGTTATTTTCCAATAGATGACATTTGCGTCAGAAAATGATTAGAGTCATGTGTCTGACGCATTAGTGACATTTGGATGCAGCCTATCTCCTCCTGACATTTGCCACAGTCAGTCAGCTGCCACCCAGTTCATTGTGAACCTGCGAGCAGTGAGTTAGTCACGCACTGGCAGAGGAAAGTATCAAAAAACACAGAATCAGCATTATCAGTAAAGTCACACATATATTCAGTATTTAGTCATTAATGAAGGTTGGGATGCTATTTTAAGTTCTTCTTGAGTGGAGCTCTGGTCCAGTAAAGCCAAAGAAATATGGACCCAAGTCAGATTTAACTGAATGAAATCTAGAGCCGGGTGGATTGGCACTGCTCCGAGGTTGATCCGGCTGCCAGGATGTTAAAGTGACGGATAGATACGGCATCAGAGAAGCCTTCAACTTCCACATAGAATTTAATGATTACTGACAATGTCATATTTTATGAGTGCAGATCATTGACCATGGAAATGCACGTCCAGCTAAAGCTTCTGACTATCGCACACAGTCAGCAGAGTGCAACAAGGCAAATCTAAAAAGGGAAATAGAAAACAGGAGAAGAAGAGCAAGAGAGGTTTGTGCTTGTAGAGGGTCTCTGTATGTGTGTGTTGTGTTGTATCATCTGCGTTTGTTTGCGAAGACCCTGACTCAGCTGCGACTGTTGTTATCACAGTAATTGAACTCTGTTGTACTGTTTAACTAAAGCGTGAGAGAGTGTGTGAGTCAGAGAGAGAAAAAGAAAGAGTGGTATAATGTAATGAGCTTGTGAACAATCATCATCAGTTTATTACATGAGGGGGTGAAGTTAGTCCAACAGATTTTAATAAGCTACACCACCATCTCCAGTACAAAAAACCTATTAGGATCATATAATAACATTTCTACATGTTGTACAATGGCATGTACCATAATGGAGTCACATTTTTCTCTCATACCAAGACCATTCACAAAATAATCTTGCTCCCCACCTTTATTCACAAATGACTATTATACAAGTAGCATGCTCTGCTTGAGATGGATTCCAATAATACAATTTTCTGTCTGGGCAAAGTATGCAAGACTAATGTCAAAGTCCATTAACCTCGACTCAGTTCTGCCAGAGCACCTGTTTGCAAGATCCTCTGTTTGTCTTCCTGCTCGCTCCACATTTGTGATGCTGCTTGTTCGTTGTGAAATATTCACTCCATATGTAGTAAAGACAGGCTGCGAGTGAGACACCTTTTTCTCACTCTGAATGGGATAATGGTGATGCTGACGTCTGGATACTCAATTACCTGGTTTAACGAGTGGAAGAAAATTGCTCCATGTAAACTGCCTGGCTTGTTTTGATGGTAGGTTTCCACGTGCGATAGCTGCGACAGAGTGAGTAAAGATAGCTCCTTTTCTCTGTTGTTAAGCTTTCTTTTGCCAATAATTATGATTAACAGCTCAGCCAAATTTAAAACAGCGTTCAGTCAAGGTTTTCAGCAGTTTGTAACCTGGCCAAACTACAGAAACGCTCAAATACTGAGCAGCTGTGGAAGCTGTGAGAAGGTTTTAATACGTGTTGACTCATTATGAAAATGGTCTTGTGTAACTCAATGGATGGAACAAACTGTGCCAGAGGTAGGGGGTTCAATTCAAGTGTCTATCAAATGGCCCATTGTTTCATCACTTGGAAATGTTATAACAGTGCTTTTTATGGTTTTGGTGTTTTAACGTGGCTTCATTCAGATTTACCTGGTGTTCTAGGAGTAAAGAAAAATCTCAGTCCTGTACAATATATTCAAGATTGCACAGTCATTGTGCTCTTGCAACGCAGAGGAGGGAATATAATGTACTTTCAAGATGTACTATTTATGACCTTTTACCCAAGGTAATGTAGGTAGGAAGACACAGGCAATGTGCAAAAAAGTAATCTATCATACATAATAACTGAAATACAAATTTTCCAAAAATGTTTATGTTAACAATGAATGCAAAAGCATAATGTGAAAGGTGTCCCTTACAGTGACAAACTCACAGAGAATTACCTCCTGACTCTACAGTTTAGCTCTGTTGAGCTTAGTAGCATGTTTTAGCTCATTGTTTTGGTGACAAACAGCAGCTTTACTGTTTTGATTCACACTCACCACTCTCATTGCATAATTTTCAGCCACAGCAGGCAGCTGTGTTTTGCTCTGAAAACCCACTCAACAGCAGATAGACAAGGTTAGTGACTAGCTTGTGAACATAGTGGAGTATTTAGCAGCTAAAGAGTAAGATATTTCTCTCAGGAATTGGTGGAGCCCAAACCACAGCTAAATAGAGAGTGAATATTGGATTTACATTCATCAGGCGACCAGAAAACTCCAAATGAATGCCAGTGTTGCTTTGTGTCTGCTGGATGTGTCAGAAGTCTGCCATAACATCTTTATTTTATGACAATGTTGTGTTTACAGCTTCTTGTGTAGCCCCTAGTTGCCAAAAATCTACTATTGCATTGACTCTTTACCCTCCCTATGCCACTCAGGTGCCTCAGGATGACTGGGGGGGTTACCCTGGTGATGGGAAGGATGATGAGATCCCTTGTCGTCGGATGCGAAGCAGCAGCTACGTTAAAGCCATGGGGGACGAGGAGAGTGGAGAATCGGACTCCAGCCCCAAGACATCGCCTCAGAAGTCTGTGCGGCCTGACGCCCTGGTTAAGGCCATAATCAGACCCAGAGACCTGCTGGACTCCCAGAGGTACGACACATGCAATGTAAAGATTTCAAAACATCATAGTGTTTTTCTTTTGTTGTTTCTTTTGTTTCCTTTTTTTTTCTTGCATGTCCCAGCCTATCTATTCACTTTACCTCTAGCATAGATGGTGGTGAGCAAACAATGTCCATCTTAACAATTCTCCGTCTCATTTTGTCATTTTCTATCCCAATCAAAATTTCTACGGTCTATGTATTGTTTTAGGCCCAATGATCTTAGTGTTAGATTGGATTCCCCTGGGATCCCACCTAGGGACACTGACATTTTTTATACTGTCACAGGGGGTTCCAAACACAAAATGTTTCAAAATGTACATATAGAGGCTTTTAAGCAAACCAATCTCCCAGTGGAGTCTCTATTGGTTTCTCATGTAATTCTACTAGTTCCAGAAACATTCTAGAAATATGCCCCGAAAATCCTAAAAAAACAATGTGATTTGATGGAAGGAAATTATCTTAATGCACTAGGATACAGAATACACTAGAATACACCTTTTCTCAGTTTAGTACCCTATCTAATGTTTTGAGCAATATCATACTTGTTATTTATTTTCTTTATTACATTCTCAGCAGTGTTGGCAGTTTTCTTATGCGAGTGCCCCACCACTACATCAGTGTCAAGCACTTGATAGTTGAACCCTGTACTCATTACTATCCCTTTATGGGTATTCATATCAGTGTCTTCAACTGTAAGAAAGTGTTCAGTGCGGTCTACTGGGACGTGTCCCATTAAATGGTGAGGAAATAGACAGCTTTTGTTTTGGTAACTCAGCAGCGGAAGAAAACGCTCATAAGAGGATTACACGATGAGACAAGCTGAAAACAATGTCACAGAAAAATAAACACAAGCAACTATGTTATGGGGAGATACAAGGAGAGTTACTATGATTACAGCATTAACAAATCCATTAGATTAGGATGAAATTAGATTATAGAGTTCTTGCACCCAAAAAAGAATAATAAAATAAAGAGTAAACTCATCTGCAGTAATGCTATAACTGAGAAACCATTCAGTAACAGCTTTTTACCCCAAGGTATTTGCTGGCGATGTGCATCATTAACATAAATATTAAATGATCTACCTGTATTAATATGTTTGTGAGCAAAGCCAATTATAGTAGAGTGAGATACAGTGATAATACACTGCAGGGGTTACTCTAAAGCTGTTGTAGATCAGAAATGAATTCCCTTTTCTGTCCTGCTGCTTTTATTGTGTGTTCTATGTCCTGGTAGTTGTCTGTTTTATCTTTCTGCTCCACCTTCTGTTGCACCTTACATCCAGTCTCCATCTTTACTATATTCAATTTCAGAATGAAGCATGGTACTGCATAGACACCAACCACAAATACAAAAGATGTTCTTATCATCTGTCATTTGTTGCTACTCAGAGGTTGTTAAAAAACCTACCTTTTTCATTATTTCCAAAGTGTTCATTTTTCCATTATGAATTAATTAGTGAAACTATTCAAATGTTACTTATGGCCTTATTTTACTCCACATTGTGGTTTTAAATTGTATTGTTATAGTACTTCAGATAACAAATTATTGCATTGTGCGTGGCAGATTCATCTTTTCCAGAGTCATTTTTTAACAGGTGGTTTTACGAGAAAGCAAATTCACCGTTGTTCCCCCTTCAAAGGGTCCTGTTCCTCTTTGTTCACAGCAGAATGTGAAAACAGTAATTACGGCCTATTTTATTAATATGACAATTTTAAAAATATCCTAGACTAGCTCTTTCAAAACACAATGCTTTTATCTGCCTTTGCTCTGCTTCGTGAGCTGTGCATATTGAGTGCATTTATGATTCAGGTTTGAGTTCAGTCTGTAAGTCCCCATCAAAGGACTTTAGCACCTGGTTGTACTAGACATTCAGATGCAGTCTTTCCTTTTATTTTTCATTTATTTTTGAGAAAACTTACACTGTGCTCGAACATCCCTCCGAGGCTCTGTTTTTGTTAATCAAAGGTGTGGGCCAAAACTTCAGCAAGGCTAGAGACAACTTATTTCTGGTAATTGTGTGAACAGGATCATCCAGCTACTGTGGTGCCGTTTACAATCAAGTTTGTTTAAAGAGAAAAATGCTTTTAGAATTTGTTGTTGACCTCACTTCATTTACCACCTGTTTTCTGTCCTGTCAATTGAAATCACTTGGATAATGAAAGAAAATAGTCTGGTACTGCCACAAATTTTTCACCAAAGACTGAAACTGATTATGTGGAAGGTGCCATAGCTGTCCCGTGTTAAGTGCTGCTTAGACATCCTTGTTTGTCAGATATTTAATATCTCTTATTAAATAATAATAATAATAGTAATCATAATAAGACTAAATGTAAAGTAAATATTTGGGCAACAGATAGAGAAAGAGCGAGAAAAAGAAAGTTATTCATGAAATTGTGAAAATTGGGACCAAATAATAAAGGAGACAAATACAGGTTCTGTAGGGGTATAATTGCTATAATTGTTTCTATAAACACAACGTTCATACAGCTCAGGCTTTGGATGCTGTTGCTCAATCTGTTGGAGCACAATGTGAGTATATCCTACTTCATTTCTCTTTCATGCTGTGTGGTTCACTCACAGAGGTGTGCTGGACTGTGTAGAAACTCTTCTCTCTTCACAGGCCTGCTGCAACTTCTGCATAAATCACACTGTGTGTCTGTTCTGCTTCTAGTATGCACAAGCCCAAAGGCAAATCATCTGACTTAAATTGTAGACATTATGCAAATACGACCTTGTGTCTGACCTCAGTGTAGAGTGTGGCCTGTAACAGACACATAGCTGCAGTATGTAACATCAGACATTCACAGTTAGAGACTAATATATATACTAACACTGATGACTCTCTCACTCCTATTGTCATATTCTCGCACCTCACTCTTTACACCACCGACCCCATGCTCATTGCCATTTAGCACAGGTTTTTGAATTGCTACTCTCTCGTACAGAACAGCTTTTTCCCTGGAAGCTCGGAAACCGCAGCAGGCAACACCCACAGAATCCACTAATACGCATCGCAACTGTTAAGCTGACCCTGATGAAAACACGTACGTGCATATACAGAAACAGAATTGATGGCCATTTCTGGCAGTGTTTGTGTCATCTCTCTGCAGGGTGAAAGGAGAAGGAGGAAGGGCAGCTGATATGTTTTACAGTTATGGGCTGCAAGTAACACCTGTGTGTGCTTGCATTATAAGCCAGACATTCAACCAGAGGATATATAATGACAGACTGAATGTTATTGATTGTGATCAGGCAGGGTCAAAATGATATCTGTCATAGACGATGCAGTCATTTGGCCTTTTTAACAGATCTTTCAGAGTATGAAGTAATGAATGAGGCAGCTACAGTGAGGTATGCTCCTTTTTCCACATTTTGCAAAGCTTCCCCTGACTATCCATTTTGAATAGCTGTAAACAGTGAATGATTTATGAGGATGCTACAGCAGGAAGGGCTATCAGTTGCAGTTATTGTACTCCAAGGCCCCTCTGAATAATGGCTCTCTCAGTGGTTAGAGAGTCTGCTGGGATCTGCTTAAAGGAAGATATTGACCAGCATGGATCAGGCTGTGTGGCCACTGACTGCAGCCAGTCAGTCAGCCAGGACCCACTCTAAGAATGTCATAATGTGTGCCTTTTCTTCTTGGATTGATTGGGTCCGAGCACCGCAGTATCAGTGAGAATGGCAGTGCAAGGCCCCCAATTTTGAATGGGAACAGTTTTATTTACATCACATGACACAATTTGTCAATACATTTTTAGATAGCATAATGTATAGATTTCTCATAGGCTGTGGTCACAGAGTATGATATATATGGCTACAATAGAATTAAATTAAAAAAGCTGCGACTGGAGAATCTTTGTTTATGTTTTTTTACATGTTTGAAGTTCAAAAGTAGGCCCTACCAGTTCCGCATTCCTTGGTCAGTACATGCAGTATGTTGGTCACAACTCTTTAAAGGTCCAGTATGTAGGATTTAGTGGCATCAAGTGGTGTAGTTGCAGATTGCAACTCAGTCATTTCACCCTCCCTTACCAAGCCTGAGGGAGAAACTACACTGGCCGCAAAACATGTAAAAAATGCAAATGGCCCGAAGTTAGAAATCCTACATACAGTACTTTACCCTTATAAATCACCATAAATATACATGCAAAGCTGATACCGCTGTTTTCTGATCATCTAGATCAAAGTGGCAAAGTGCATATGCAATATTTTGAATAAATATTTGTGTTTATGTTATGTTTTTTTTAAATAAATAAATATTCAGAAATGCAATCAATTGGACTACAGTTTAGTGTTAGAATTAAGTGTGTTGCAGTATGGGGTTGATAGTGATGCAAAAGGTATTCAATTCCCATAAATCAGCTTATACGAAAGGGTACATTCAAGTTTGCAAACCAGGCAGGTTCTGTGATTGTTTTATACCAAAATAATACCAAAGGGACAGGAAACCAAATGATGGTGAGACCAGATTATACAGGAAAAGGGGAAGTACTCATTTGGACAAAGATATTCTTGACTTTTTATAGACCTGAAGAGGATTTCATTTGGACAAACAATTTATATAAAAGTCCAGTGGTGAAGTTGCAGATTGCAACCATTTGAATACTGTTCCAAGTGTGTAGGAAAAACTACAGTGGCTGCAAAACCTACGACAAAACCCTATCTAGAGGCAGTGTTTGGTTTGTCTGTTCTGTGCTACTGAGTTCAACATGGCAGCTTCCACAGAAAAGGACCCACTCCCTCTATAGATAAAAACAACTCATTCTAAGGTAAAGAAAACACAACGATTCTTTTTTTAGGTGATTATGCACAAACATATCTATGAATATTACATTCCATTTCCAATAGATCCTCCTAAATATTACAGACTGGACCTTTTTAGTGTATTACATGTATTATATACAATTATTATATTATTGATTGTCTGCAGAGGAACTGAAGCTCTCATCATTTGTTCAGAATAAGGTTAGTACCATCTTCCTGTGATCCATATCTGTTACTGTTTTAAGTCTGCACATAATAGCTACCACGGATGCAAGTGCCACCTGACATGAGAGCTCTCATGCTATTATGGTTCATTGGGCTTGTTGGGATGGAATTAGATTGGATTCAAGACAGACATGGCGTAGGTTGGATTTCCTCTGCTCTTGTAGCAATTTGCTGTCCCACAGGGGCATTCAGATGGGCTAAACACAAATTTGGCAGCAGTGGCTCCCTGAAGCAAATCATGTTAAAGGGAGAACAGGTTGTCAGGTTGTGTCACCTCCCTCCGTCTTTCCCTCTTTCAAGCTCTCTGTCGCTCTTGTGGTTGACAGGATTGCCTCTTTGTTCATCTCACCAATAAAGGACACATCACAGTCATGGGCCCACTGAGCTGGAACAGCCTGTTCACTAGAAAGAAAGTTAGATGTCATTGATTATTTTAATTAATAATTATTTACCCCTCCCCAACCACCATTGCATTACAACGTCACCCTCTGGTCCTGTACGTCCTGTAAGCTGCAGAGCAGACAGCTATGATAAATTGAATGTGAATCAGCTTTTTTTTCCAACAGTTGGACCTGCCAAAGATGTTTAAGGAATGTATTAATGATGATGGGAACTGAATGACATGTGGCAAATTTCACTGTTATCTATTAGCATAATGAGTCACTGAGTCAATCAGTGATGATATGTCACATCTGATAGCAGGTTGCACTGGCACACATGCACACACATGCACAGAAGAACATCAATAATTAACCTCCATCTCCGGCAAGTTAACTTATTTTTAAACGATTGTGGCCCGGTAAACATCACAAGCCAATCAATCCCATCTATTTTTGGCAGTTTATAAAATAACTCACATTTGTTTGCCTACCATCCATGATTAGCTTCTTGAGGCAGCATAATTAATCAAAGTTAACACTGTCAAAGCATTCGATAATTCCTGATTCGACATAATTTAATTACTCATTCAGATAGCATCTGGTATGAGCATTTTTATCCTCACATCTCAAGGTCAAAGCAGAATTCCAATCCATTGATTTGTGGCTGTGTGGGACGTGTTGTGCATAGTTAGCCTACTTTTCTGTTGGCAAATTCTCAACACTTTTTTGTCTCCACTATAAATATATAATGCTCTTGATCTTTTTGGACTTTGGTCGAATAGAACATACAATATACTTGAATAGAAAAGGTTTTGTGTTTTACAAGACAAAAAGTGTATGCTGTGGATACACTGATTGTGAAGTTTATTAAACACAATTCATTTATTCCCTTCTTCAGGGTTCCCTTCCTTTTTCTCTCCTCAACCCCATTGGGAACCATTGGGAAGATGTAATTGTTCTCCAAAGGACTTTACAGTGCCTTTTGTGTGTCAAGAAAGACACCTATTTGCTGATTTCCAGATTATGGACTAGCAGACACATTTCTCAAGTCTCAGTGTGGCCTCATTCCCATTGCTCTCAAGTTTGTATTATTGTTAGTACGTTAACCCTTCTTGCAAAGTCTTCTATCCTGCAACAATCTTCATGCTTCAAAATGTCCTTTGTCCTTGTTCCTTGTTACCATTATATGCACTGTTCAATCAAATGCCTTACTCTGGACCTTTCTTCTCAGAAATTAGCACACAACCGCTATTGTCGAAGCTGAGCTTCTTTTAAACACAGAAAGAGTACTTTCACTGGCAGCGTGAAAGGCAGGAAGTGTGAGATTCCCATCTTCCCTTGCCTTTATATTTGCCAACAATGGAAGTGCATTAGCACCAATCAGAGACATTAGAGGAAATTTGCTCTGGCATGATTTGATTAAGGGCTAACGCATTCTCAAAAAAGCCTCCCTTCACTCAAATGACAGGCAGGGATGGATGTAGTATGCCTCAGTATTGCCTCAGCCAGTGCACTTATGCACAATATCTGATCTTGTCAGCAAAAAGCTAAAAAGTTTTATTACTCAGGGAAGGATGTTAGGTAGGTTTTTAATTCTCATTTGGTTCAATTAACTAAATCTAATTAGCCACATAGGGAACATTTTTTTTTTTTATGAAGTAGTGTAATTGTTTTTTGTGTGTGGCATTTCGTCGTCAAGTGCTTTGTTATCATTATTGGTTAGTGTTGGTGGACAGGTGTGTGGGTGTGTGTGTGTGTGTGTTGTGTGTGTGTGTGTGTGTGTGTGTGTGTGTGTGTGTGTGTGTGTGTGCGGACCTAATGTGCAACAAAAATCATAACACACTCCTCATTATGTCGTTTAATTTTTAAGTTATTGCCTTGACCAGGCAATTCTGTCTGCCAACTAAATGTATCTGTAACATTCTCCCACTTTCATCATTACTTGAGGACCATCTTGGTCATACTGTACCACCATAATGTTTGCAGCACTTTGGTGAAAACACCCAAGCAAACATTCAGTCCACCACAAAATGTCATACAGAGCCTGTTCCATTGGACTGGAACAGCCCAGTGACGTCACTCCCATCCAACTCCCACTTGTGGGACCCAGTAACTCTGTTTTCTTCTCTACCCACAGCTCTTACCGCCTGGATAAAATCAACAGTGACATGCGTAACTACATCACCAATTTTGCTGCAGACTTAAGGTGAATACAGGCTCAGCGCCTCCCCTCCCCTTACCTCTCTGTTGCTGCCATGTTGCAGTGGTCAGACGTCGGAGCCAGCTGGCTCGCCGCCCTGCTGACATACCCAATATGGATGCCCCACAGAGCAAACACTCAAGACCAGTCAATGAGAGGTCACCTGGGGCAATCTGCTCATACTGGCAAAGCATAAGGCGCTGTTAAACACAATATAGATGTGATATGATTCACTGCTATACATTACATCAGCAAAGTAGTAAATGGTTAGTTATGCAAGTATGTTTTGAGAGATGAATCACATTAATTAAGTCAGGTAAGAGATAGTACTTCCTCCCATTTCCAGCTTCTTTACTTTTACCACTTCATTCAGACTTAATCTCTGGATGTTTCTGTTCTAGGATGTCTTTGGATGTATAGAAGGTTGATATTATTTTGCAAATACACACAGCTTTGCGACAGCATGACAAGATGGATTGGGGGACTTTTAATCACACTGGCATTTTCCTCGCTGCCAAACACCAGTGTTTATCTCTATAAAAAGCCCTGAAACTGCTTACTCATCCCTGCCTGTCATTAGAAATAGATCTGGCAGTGGGAACCTCACTTTGGTATTCCTAATGTGACTCACATAGTATTCTTTAGTTTACTTTAAGCACCTTTCTTCTTCTATGTTCTTCTATTAGTCTTCTCTCCTGCAGACTTGGGTTTCTGAACATCTCTCCTGCACTGCTGTGGTAGCACATTTAATTGACCTACCTGACACCGGGGGGCTCTCTGAAGTGCTTGCTCACTAACTAGCTCCTGATTTGCATTTCCCTCATTTCCAAGCATTGATTGGATGTTTCAGCACAACAGAAATCGAACTGCCTTTTTGAGGACACTGGTGAACACATCAGTGTAGTGGGGGAGAGAAGAAGTGAGATGCTCCCCTCTTGGGAGACACAATGTCATAACCAGTCTCGCTCTCAAGTTCAAGCTGCCCAGAGGAGACCTGCTGCCCTTAATAACTTAATTGTTTTTGTCATCATGTTACACCTGTAGCCACTAGTCAAAGTGCTTGTTTATTAGTTAAATTATATTTAATTGACTTGCTTAAGAAATCATTACCACGGCTGTAGTCCCACTCCCTGCCTGCTTCTCTTTTTCTCTCTCTGTTCAGTCAGAGCTACCACTTGCAAGCCACCAGGGACATGCACCCAAGCATTGCCCTGGATCCCTCTGCCAACTACAACTCTCCCAAGTTTCGCTCCAGGAACCAGAGCTATATGCGGGCCGTCAGCACCCTCAGTCAGGCTAGCTGTGTTAGCCAAGTGAGCCAGGTGAGTCAATTAGGAAAGGTTTTTAAATCCTACCTTTTACTGAAGAGCAGTGGTTCTTACACCAGGGGCTGCAGAGAGACCCCAAGGAGGTACCAGCTAAATTATATAGAATCATTTTACCACAAATTTCTTAGTTAAAGAGTGTCCTAATTATAGTTTTTACTCTTGCTGTGACTTTACCATTAAGATGTTTTTTTTTTCTGTCTTCATTTTACTTACTCTTATTTTACATGACAGTTCATTGCACATTGTTTATCTGGCTACATTCTCCAACTCCAACTGGGGTTGTTGAGATATTCATCTCCCTCTTAAAAAAGAGGCATATTGATTTGTTCAGTCTTAAAGGCTCAACTAAACTCCTACTAATTCCAAATCCCAGTAGAACAAGATGTTTATCTTTGATTCTTGATAATGCCAAATAGGAGTGGGGTGATAACCATCAAACAGTTTCTACTCAGTAAACAACCATTTGTAACAAGTTAGTATTAAAGACATAAAAGACACATCATACATAGCTGAAACAGGGAGTGGAAATAGTTCCTTGTCAACGTCAACGACAAATCTTTCACAGCAAACTCTCACAGTATGACTGATTTAATGAAAATGAACATGTTGTTGTATTCATACCAAACAAAAGCCACTGCAGCAAAAGGAACCAGTCGCTGACTATCAACTAGTGTGGAAATATGACAGAACAAATTCCAGGCAACACTCAAAAAATACAAATTTTGTGACATAAAAACACAGTTTTCATCTGTCTGCTGTGTTTTGCCTATTAAAACATGTGCAGTAATATAAATCAAGCCTAGTTTTTACTAAGGGAAAGGAGAAAGCCCACAATGTCTTGTTTTACAACCAACCAATTAATTTGTCCAGGTGAACAAAGAAAAATATCTTCACAGTGGAGAAACCATGCTTTCGGCTTTTGTTTCCCACAGGTGAGTGAAACAGAAATAAATGGCCAGTTTGAATCAGTGTGCGAGTCAGTATTCAGTGAGGTGGAATCTCAGGCCATGGAGGCCTTGGACCTGCCTGGCTGCTTCAGAACCCGAAGTCACAGCTACCTGCGAGCCATCCAGGCTGGGTACTCTCAAGATGATGACTGCATTCCCCCGATGGCCTCCACTGTCACCTCCACCATCAGGTCTACCACAGGTAGGGGCATTTGCAATTTGCACAATGCAATGTGTGACATCCTGGATGTTGGTATTTTTGTTTGTACTTACAAATTGACACCAAAAGCTTACATTTGGCATTAACATGTGTTAATGGATGAATATAGAACAGTTAGTGCAATCTGGTTGTACTGTCAAACAGCTTCATATCTTTGCATGAATCACTCTTGTATGTTTCCATTGTTTTTGATGGACGTATGATTACTGTAGCTACCACTTGTGAGCTGTGCTAGTTCATCCTACTGTATTTTGGATACAGTGCTTCATCTGCTCATCCATTGGATGCATCAGAGAGTAAAGCTATGAACCCTATTGAAAATCACAGATGGATATTATCTGAAATAAGATTCAGGTCAGAATAAGGACATGACTGCTTTGTCCACTACATTTTGGAAATCTGACTTTCTTTATGATGACACATGGTGACACTTGTGAACACACTCACACCTCTATTACAAACTGGGCAAAGAAATGGTGAAATTGCCATATGCAAAATATGCAACTTCTTAACCCAGTTTACACTTAAATATCACAGCATATACTTGAAATGTCTTCGCTCACAGATTGTTCTCGTCACACAAACTATTTTGTCTCATTGCAGAGCTCCTGTTTACATACAATGAGATCACATTACAGAACTGTAGACTATTGTGTCTAGACCTGGATAATCAATTATGTAAGCTGAGCTGTCACACTGTTTAGTCACATATATCACATATGCAAACTTGTTACAATAAATCTAAACCCTACTCAGCTGACACGTGCATTTATTTCTGATACTGAGCATTGATTATAAATTGTAAGCTGCTGGTGGTTTCAACAATTCCCATGATTGCTGGATTCACAGAGGAAATGATATACACTTGTACAGATGAAGAATGTGGGAAGAAAAGAAGAAAAAGTGTCTGGAAGAGAAGTCTGAGTGGATTCCGTCTCTTCCCACAGTAGATTCATGAACACCATCAGTTGGACTTTAATAGGGAGGGTTAGAGGTGTGGCCATCTGGAGATGTGCTTATGATCAATTCTTCATACCTATAAATGTCTGCTTACACTGCTTTCTCTGTAAACTCAAATATCTTTGTATTCGTAGGATACAGAGTTTGGTATGTGATTTTGCCACTATTTTGGACATGGGGCAATTGGTGCTTCAAATCAATCTGTCAAACTGGACCTCACATTTTCAATAGGGTTCATACTATACTTCCTGATTGATGGGAAATGGTTTGGAAGCTTTGCTCATCTTTGCCTCTTTTCATTGCACAAAGTACACATTTTTTTTACCTCAACTGAAAGCAGAAGAGCATGCAAGGATTGTTCTTACACCTCATTTATTAGAAATATTGTCCATTCTCTGTGATGTGTTCCAGTAGATAGGAGTTTCAGCTTTGTGCATTGAAAAGATGTGAAGAATGCATGCTACAAATTTAAGTTGAGAAGGCAGTGTAAACCATTAACGGGAAATGAGTCAAAATGGGAGTACTTTCCCAGTGTTACACTGGTTTTCAACACTGTAATGTATAATTAAATTACTGATTATTAAAATCCTTGAATAAAAATTCCTTAGTACACGTCTATGGTATACAGATGAGTGAATTGGGGCAATAATCATAAGGATAGCACTTAGTTGTTGTAGATATCTGCTATTACCTTATTTTGACTCATGGCATTCAGTGCATGATTTGATGTTACTGCTTTGTGGCAATAAAAAGCACATTCTCTCCAGCTGCTCACACCTGTGGCCATAATACAGATACATATTTACATTTGTCTTCCAGACAGAAATTATGTGCAGGAAGATTCTTGTTTACCCGACCAGGCCAGTGTACATGAGGATTTGGCAGACACGGCCCCTTTGGCTCATGATGATCTAGGCTGCCCCATCAGAAGAGACAGGCTTTACCAGCAAGATAACATGGGGGCTACAGCCAAACCTCTGTCTGGACCGCCTGTGTCTCCAAGCCTCTTCAGATCCCCCCGATCTAGTGCCCCAGAACGGCCATCACCAAAAGCCATCCAGGCCAGTATCAAAGAGTCGGCTACCTTGGCTGCAGCTATCAGCATGCAATGGAAGGAAGAGGTCTCTGCCATGCGTCGAGAACTAGCTGATTTAAGGAGGGACCTCTGCAAAGAGCTTCGGGCTTTCAACAGTAATTTCAACACTTTCACGCAGCATTACAATACATGGTCTCCCCAAGCTGGCAACGTGGCTGCTGGAGCTGATGTAAGTTTAAGCGGAGGTGTTGGGGCAGGGACAGGGACAGGAACAAGGTCAGGAGCAGGGGTAGGAGCAGGCGGACCTGGAACCTCTACAACAGAGAGAGGCACTGGTGGAGCTAGGGAGAAGAAACCCCAGGTATCAAAAGTGTCTGTGGGGACCCAGGCCAGAAGCAAAGTCCTGGTCCGCCAAAGCACTGCAGATGCAGCTGTCAATTGCCCAGAAGAGAAGGAGGAAATGAAAGGTGCCCGCCGTAATCTGCCAAAGCAGCTCTCTATGGACCCAAGCATTCTTGCCTGTCCACAGTCAATGTATGTGGAGAGTGCCATACCACTTTCTTTGGATCCAATACTTCCAGGCTCTGTTAGAACAGTCGAACCAGGGCTGTTTGACTTGACTGCTGTGCCCTCTACAGCTAACCCAGAACCAGAGCTACCAGACCATGCAATTGTGAGTTCATCTGACATGGTCACTAATGAACCAGTCACTACTCATGATACAATGCCAGTTTCCTCAGAAGCAGCCTCTGAAAGCCTTCGGGATTCAGTGACAGAACAAGAAATGCTAATCACTCCACAGCTAATAAATATAGACCCAGCTAATGAGTCCCATTCAGATACTGAACCATCTCACCCTGATGACATGAAATCCCCAGACTCAGAAATAATTGAAAAAGATAAGATACAGCTACCATATCCAGTTCCTGTAGTTACTGTGTCTCCACCAGAGGAACATGATTATGACATCATGTCAGACTCAGAGTCTACGGATCCTGTCATTGTGGACAAGCCAGATCCAGTGTCTCAAGAACCTACTACTGTGTCTGTACCATATTCAGGATTAGATTCAGAAGATCCCGATCCTGAAGACCCAACAGAATTAGAGCCAAAACCATCAGACCCTATTAGTCAAGGCCCATTATCAGACTGTGATGCGCCTACATCAGATCTTGATACTGTTACACAATGTAATTTAGAGCCTGACATCATATGTCCCTCTATTGTGGTGTCAGAGTACCTTGACACAGACTCTCCTGCAAGTCCAACTGACAGTGACACAAATCCAGATCCCATTATCACCCTTCCAGATGATCCTTCTGACCCTCCCCCAGAGCAAATGACACCAGTCACAACCTTTGCTTCTAGTTCAGTAGAAACTCAACTCAACACTGAACCAGACTCCCAAGACCCAGAGTGGCCACCCCTTCCAGAACCACTTGATACTACCCCTATATATCATGCCGATCTGGTCCACTTTGACTTAGTCATGCTGACTTCTCTAGATCAAGATGATCTTGACTCAGTGTTTATGGACCCCGAGCCAGAGCCCTTTGACCTGAGTGTTGACTCTCCATCTAATACAGAGGATTTACATCCACCCACATACCAATCAGACTGTCCAAGTTATCCCCTCCCAGCTGTTGACCCTGCCACGCTGTATCCCTTGGATTCATCACAGTCAACAGAATCTGTCTGTTTGGATCCAGCTATGGATTATCGCTTAGCTCAGGATGTAGCCATAGAAGTACATGAAGTCCCTCTACCACAGGTCACTGTTACAATATCCCCTCCTAGTTCAGTATCTCCTGATACGTCACTAGAGATGGACTTTGGACCAACAAGTCCAGCCCCAGATCCTCTTCCACCAGATACAAATCCATCACCACCAGATCTCGAAGATGTGTCCTCAGTGGATCTGGCACACATGGAGCCAGGTGATATAATTGTAGAAACACTGGAGTGTATGGCTGTATCACAGGAGTATGGGGAACTTGTGGAAGAAGAGAACCCAGGCAGTCTGGAGAGGTCTTCAAGTCAGCAGGCCTTTTTGTGGTGCAGGTGGCAGAAGAGGGCCCAGAGACGTGAATCAATGCACAGGAGTGCCAGTGTGGAACTCTGGAGCGGGAGATACGAGTACAACAGTGCAGAAATCACATACGTTTCTCTCACTCTGTGATCTCATACCTCATTGTCAGCAGACGAAATGTAGCTCAAAGTATATTTATAGTTCATGGTTTGTAGCTGCCAATGCACTGTAGAGCAACGAGCAGATCTAAATGTCATGTGATCATTGGCATTCAAAGCAAGAACTTCCTCATACACAACCCTGCAGTAATATTCCAGGAAAAAAGACTGCATTGGTGGCAGCAAAAGAAACATATATCAAGGATTGCACGATACTGCAAGAATACGATGAACCCCCAGTGGTGACAAATTTACTGAACAGTCATGCTTCAAAAACATTTACCATTTACAGTACAAACTTTTCTGAAGCCGTTGTCACCACTGATGTGAATTATCTTCCAGGACAGAACTGCTTATTTCAGTGTACCCTATTTAATCATTGGATACATTAGTAATGACTGTTCTTTTTCAGTCACTGTATTACATCCAGATATGGTGACACACATAGACTTTTTTGGAGCTCTGTTATAGACTACGGACAAGATGGCCTAAAGTATACAAGGTCCTGACAATCCTTGCAGTAATGACTTTCCTTTCCTTGACTTATTTTGAGCTCTCTTTATTGTCACTCCAGAGTGGAGTGAAGTAAATATTCCCAGTTATCATATAACTATAAGGACACACTGTTTACTATGTGAGCTGTTGGATGGACTCTGCAGTTATAAAGCAAAAGGACATGATGCTGTGGAAGGATGTTTGCACAATCTTAGATGGAGCTGGAGTACTATACTGTTAATTTGTTGGGAATAATAACTCACATCATTCACACTCATGCTCAAATATACTCAGAAACCAGTACAGTTATGGTATGTAGCCCCTATGTACAAAAAAACTCATGATACCCACATGCACATACAGCACATACACACACATATAGCTGGACAATAAGCATTTATTTAAAAAATACACTATAAATTATAATTGTCTGATAATCCGACTATAGTAACTGCAGGCCTTGTTGAGAGGTGATATTGTATTTTTTACTGTAGGATATCATCTTAATGCTCAGGAATCAAAGATTGAGAATGTAATACAACTGGAACATAAGTGTAATGACATGTTGAATTGTGTTCCTTCCTGAAAAGAGGTGTACATCATGTGGCTATTTTTTTTATTTTGTGACAATGAATGATGACAATTATGTTGTAATGGTGCATGACAGATGGCCTCAATATTTTGTGCATTTCATATACAGTGCCTCATTGTAAGTATTCAGATCTATTCATAGTTTCCTTTTGATATTCAGTGCAATGAAAGGAACCTACATACACCACAGAAGACGCAGAATTCTGTTACCAGCAATGAACAGCTAAAAAGCCAGGCAAATCACAAGATATATCTGTGCTATCTGTCCAATTAATGGGCTTCATATGGAATCGCCCACTGAAGTCTGTGCTCTAATAAAGTGCGCTGGAACAAAAAGAATCTCTCAGCGAAAATCAGTGAGCTGCCAGTAAAGGACTTTCCTGTGTTTTGTTTTGAATTTAATATATGCAGAACACTTTATGAAAGTTTGCAAAATTAACTGAATCTGAAAGGTTTTCAAAGGGGTGGGAAGTTAATTAGGGTGTATTGTTGTATTCATTTGGCTCATTTCACCGGCATAGAACCTGCCACCTTTTTCCTCCCTGGACCCCTTCCATGTTTAACTTTTCATTTTCAAAATTGTTCTCTGAAAGTAACACATAATATAACCTGTACTGCAGTGACATTATGTTTATTCATAAGATATAACTGCTTCAGGATTCAATCATGCAATGAGAGATACTAGCATATAATGACAGGCCCTTTTTCTACAGTGAACTTAAAATAGAGGGAATGATGCTGATTAGTAGTTGTGAAATGTCTGCTTAATTGGAGGAAAACTAGACCTGCTAGCTGACCTTGTGTTTATTCAAACGTAAGAGTTACTGTTATATTCTTAAAAGGCTGTACAAGTAAGCCAGTGAAATGTTCTATTCTATAATTGTTTTGATTGCTTTCTTTATACATCTATATTAATTTATAGTCTCAAATGGAGTTTAATAGGGTGATAACCTTTGCAGAAACATTCTACAGTTACAAGGTTAAACTACACCTAATATCACATTCAACATTAGAATATTCATTTCACCAAGCAGAGAATCAAGGTGCTGAAAGGGGGAAGGTATTTTAAGTATGTTTAATGGATGACATTTTGAATACATATCATAAAAACAGAAATTAACATTTTTACTTACTTTAACACTATTATAAATCACAAATACCTTTGTTAAGGTGACAAACTGGTATCTAAGAACATATCAGGCAAATTTGACTTCAAATTAAACAATTAACTCTATCTTCAAGCAAAAATCTCCATTTGAACCCTGGTTTGTGTGGCCCACAAAAGCCAAACATTTGCACCTATAGCCTACTATTGAAGTAGGCTATACATCACTGCTAAACCAAGGAATTACATTAGACCTTGACCGAAGTCAGCTTTCATTTAATCAAAATTGGTTGTTGTAATGACTTACTTTTGGTCATCTTGTAAGAGTGTAGCAGTTTCAGGTCATGTTGGGAGCACGGTCATGAAGCCAGGTCAAATGATGTGTGTTGACCTATTTACACCAACCTCCAATACGGGTCACTGTGTCTGTCTCAAAATGATTTACAAGAAACATCAGAGATGTGTAATCCAAGATGAAAAAATCTGTATTTGTATGTATGCTGATTCCTTTTCTGTCTTCACGCTCTGATCAAGGTGCTCTGCTGAAACATGGACTTCCTAGTTAGTGTGAAGGCATTTTTTGGTGTAGAATTTCTTCTTTGTTTTGATTTCTGCTATACATCCTACTGTGCAGGATGATCCTCATAGCCCTGGATCTGGTCTACATTTGCCTTGTGTGATGAAAATAGATTGTACTTTGTGTTTGGGCAGATATGCCCACTTTTCTGAATATCCACCCCACTCCCTTGTTTTCAGGGATCCAGTTCTGCCTCCCCTCCACCTGCAGCATTGATCGGACTCCCCAGCAAACCCCAGGTAAACCTGCCACCTGGGGAATCCTCCATTGCTCCATTTAAATGTCGCTGTTAAGCACTTGCTTAAATAATGTTGAGTAGCTGCAGTTAATCACACATTCACAGCCAAAGAAAGCAAATGGAGACTTCAACAGAAGCCACTATATGAATAATGCACTACAACTTACCATGAAGTGAACAAGCAGTGATACTCTAACTTGCAATTAGGGATTTATTGAATAAAAAATTAGGAATTCACACAAAAAAAGACCTGTCTTTCTGTATCTATATCCTCCCCTTACGTTCTTTTACCGCAATTATCAGTTATTTCTTCATGTAGTGCTTGATCTTATAGCAGCTAGATTAACTGGAGGTTGCAGTTGCTCCACTGCGCCTCCACTGTGCCTCTACTCTAAACCATCCTCCTCCTTTGTTTGAGAAAGACTTTAGTTTTGACAGAGCTCAATTGTTAAAGTGCTTTCTCTGCTGCCGCTTGACATATTTATGATAGCGTCGCTTTCTGAAACCATCTCTCCATCCCAAAGTCTGCAATATCACATGAGAGCACAAACCCATACACACACACACCACACACACACACACACACACACACACACACACACACACACACACACCATCCTTTGGATGTTTCTATTATTAGCCCCCGTTGTGCATTTTAGTGATCCATCTAGTCTACAAAAGGCCAATTTGTTTTCATGAAGGGTGAGGTTAAGACTACGCTGACATGCATCTAACTGGTGACATGCAGATGCTATTCAGTGTGCCACCAGAAGTAACAACAGGGGAGTGTCTCTATTACTGACTGCAGCAGCCATTAGTGAAAGACAGACTCTGCAGTGTGACTTAGGCGAGCAAAAGAACGTCCTTGATCCAAAGATCATAAAGAACTGACCATGATTTTCTGCCACAGGGGTGTTTTGTTTGTTATAAACAGTGCTTTTGGGCTTAGTGATTCATCCCAATGCTCAAGAAATCTTTACATTAAACTTTTGCAAACCATCCAGGTTCAGTTAAGTAAGCCTTAGTAGTGACTCACCCAGACTTGTTTTTGTTATCTACTTATTGTTATTTTTACATTAATTCCTTTATTGTTTCTGTCTGCAACACTCGTGACAGTGCCAATAATGGAGTTGACCATCCATCTTCCTCTCCCTCCCTTTCTCCAGATCATTTACATATCCTTAAAAGCCTGCTGCAAAACAAACTGCTGCATTTCCCTTACAGTGATAAATCCAATCGGAAAGAAAGACTCTTAACGATGTGTCACTCAACTCCCCCCCTACCCCACCCCCATGTTAGCATACAAGCCAGTCTTGATAGATAGAGAGGTCCTAACAGAGATGGAGTGGTTGAATCACTGCCTTTGTGTCTCACGTTAATCAGCCTCACTGGCACAGTGGTAGTTGTTTGTACTCGTGTATGTGTGTGTAGGTGAGAGAGAAATGAAATGGAGTATTCACACTGAATACTTTTAGCTGCTTCTAAAGATACTTCCATGTTCGACCTCTTTCAAACTGTACTCACTGTACATACTGTTTCTTGAAACCTCACCTGCATCCAAGGGAACATTTTGTTCATCTTGCTGTAAGAATATACACCATCTCATCTCAAACTTTTTCTGTGGTGCCTCTTTGGAAGCCAAAGAATATCTAAATCTACGTTCTCATCACGTAGCAGTCACTCCCCACTCCTCCCTGCGTTTAGCTTGGTGTTTCTTTGTGGTAAACAGAAGACGCCAAATATCAAAGCTGTATGTAGTCCACATTGACACTATCTATTCCAGTTGGCTGTCTGAATTAAGCTTTGTCATATTTCAAATCCGACTTACGTGTGTGTGTGTGTGCGTGTGTGTGTGTGTGTGTGTGTGTGTGTGAGAGAGAGTGTGCTTTTGTTGTGTGTTATGTGCTTGACTGATGCGAATTCCTTGCCAAATTTGCAACTCATTAAATTACCATACTGTATCAACTAGCACATGCCTGGTGCAGCCTTGATTGACCATTTCACTACTTTGCTAACAGTCTGGCATGGTGAAATGAGTGAGTGAGTGAGTGAGTGAATGAATGAGTGAGTGAGCGAGCACTGGCTGTGTTCACCTCAGAGGAAATCTAAATGCTGAGTAATACTGCCACTGCCAAGATGGGAGCAAGAATTATGACTCCCCTTTGCACGACTGGCTGGCTAATAATGGCTCTATTTTGGTCCTCCTGCTGAATCATGCCCCCTGAATGGGTCATCGCTTTCCTCCCTTGATCTCTCCTCGCTCCCTGATTTATCCTTGCTCTCTATCTCACACACACACTCACCCTCTCTTCCTGTCTGCGCAGATCCACTCTCCTCTCTTACCTCTACATTTCTTTTTTTCCACCAATCTTCCTTGTTCCTCAGTAATGCATCTCTTCATCCATGAGAAGTTAATTTTGTGAATGGGCAGCAGCATGACTCATTAAGCCGCCAGAGATGAACGCTCTTCATAGACCAGACGTCTCTAGCTATTTATAAACACAGCCAAAATATGGGTGAGAAAGAGGCCAAAAGGTATTTGAGCATGTTTGAGGTGAAGCCCTGGGTTTTAGTCTTACCATAAATGATGCTCTTTCTCTAAAGGGTTGCGAACAAAAAGAAAATCTTTCCCTTGTTGCAGACAACAATGTGTTTGTTCTGTAATTTTGTTGCTCGGGCTACATTGTAATTAGGGTGAAATGCTATTAATTCTACACCACAACTTTTGGAGGCCTGCGTGGGGTGTGCAGCTCATTAGAACTCAAAATAGATCAGATTCTGGTCTCATAAGGACTCCCTTAATTGCTTTGTGTGATGTAAGCATTTGTAAGACCGAAACAGAAACACAGAGTTCAACACAGTTTGCCTCTTTGTCAAGGAAAACGATAACCCATAACTTAACCTGCAGCGTGACTCGGTATTCTTCCTCTTTGTCTTCTTTCTTTCTTCTCTTCTTGGCTCTAAGGTAGCTGGCAGTCTCTCAGCTTTGATCAAAATGCACTAAACACAGCTTGTGCTTCAGATGTTCTAGCCTGTAACTACACTGAGTGAGCGGTTCTCTCAAAGCCCTGCTTGAAAATAAAGACACGTCAAAATGTAGAAGGCGTTCATGACCCGTTCCTCAGTCCATCTCTCTGTGGATTAAGTCCATATTCTCATTTGCACTTGAAAGAAAGTAATCCCTCGCTTTCTGTCATGAAATGGACAGAATAAGAAGATGAGAGTTGTCAGGCTTCCTTGAGCTGTACCTCCTCGCTAGGATCCTCCACACATGAGTACCGTTGATTACCTCTCTGGATCCATGTCTGATGAGTGTCTCCTGTCACAGAGGCTTTGATGTTCCCTGTTACTCTATTGATTGATTCATAATTTAAAGAATATATATGTATAACCTTTAAATGGTGCCTGCACTTGCAACCATTTTCTCCCTTATCTGAGCACTGAATGTGGACAAAAGAGGAGGAAAAAGGTTTCTGCTCTGGTAGAGAGGCAAATACGCCTCTTGAACAGGAGCCAGGAACTCAGATCAATAAGATGATCAGCAACAACAGAAAAGTACAAACAGAGAACCCATCTCACAAAGTTTCCCCTGAGTTATGCTTATACATCTTTAGCAACCAGCTACATTTATCAAGTTGTAAAACAAATGCTGTTTCTGCCTAATGTCCCATCATAATTGACATGGGATATTAGCTCACCACTTCTGCTAATTAGGTCATTAACCAATAAAAGTAAGTTCATTATGTGATAATAATAATAGTTAATACATTGGAAAACACTTGCCTTAATCAGCTTGTTGTCATGTAACAAATGGGTAGGAATATATGCTGTCATATATGCATGATGTTGCTGCCATACTTTGACCTTGAGATGTTGATTCATGCACATACTACAAGCAGACTTGTGTGACCAAGTAGCTTCATCATCTGTCTAAGACTAGAGCAGGTGCAGCAGGAATCAGGAGATTAGAGGGATAGATGATAGATGTTTAAAAGGTGAAATTCTACATTTTTATTTTTTTCAACAAATCCCACGAAAAGACAAGTATTGTCTGTGTTGTTGTCCAAAAACAATAAAAAACACAGCAGTGAATCACACTGTTGCACTAGATGACATGTTCCTTCCTTACATTACATTGATTTCACATACACCGTCCGGCTCTAAATGTGTATTAATTCACAGATGGAAATAGTCCCCCACAAATACACAATTTACTCCTGTTTGAATAAGATATGCTTAAAACGAAGAGTGCCCGGCTGTTTAAGGGAATTATTTTTTATTTGAAAAAAAAAAAACATTGTTGGTTTTGGTCTTAATTAATCATTGTTGGCAGTAATAATGACACACTGGTGTAGTTTGAGGAGGTTCAGAATGGGGCATGCCGTCAATGTTATTTTAATCTTTGTAACAGAATTTATAAAGGATGATGTCAAAAACTAAGTAATATTAATGGATTTCCATGGATTTCCTTATTTAGAGGGTATACTCTGGTTGTCAGTAGATGAAAGTCTTTAATTGTTGAATATTTACTATATTTAATATTTGTTGAATACAGACTGAAGTTATATTGTTGAAACATAGTGTTGACCTTTAATGATTTAATCACCAAAAATCTATGTGATTATGAAATTGCACTTAAAGGTATGTGTGTGTATATATATATATAGTATATATAGAATTCCATGATGGTAATGCAGTAAAGAAAGATTATTATATAAATAATTATGTCTCTCCATCTTTTCTAGCCATCACCTACACACCCAATTACAAGAAGACCCCTCCTCCGGTCCCGCCCCGTACCACCTCCAAACCCCTCATCTCCATCACGGCCCAGAGCAGCACCGAATCCACCCAGGACGCCTACCACGAGGGAAGGCACCCTCATGGTGGAATGTGGGCCCCTGACGGCCTCAGCCTGGGGCTGGGCCCAAGCAGGGCCCTCTATAACTCCACTGACAGCCTGGACAGCACCAAGGCTGTGACCATAGCCATGGAGGCGGCTGGGGTCATGGCTGGAAAAAGACACCCGTCCACAGACAGCCACAGCTCGGTGCTCACCTGCGATAAGGCCATCCTGGTGTCCAAGGCTGAGGAGTATTTGAAGACACCTCGATCCTCTATAGGGATACAGGTCAGTCCTGTATCACATAGGATGGAATGAGTTCTAAAATTCTTACATCTCGCTCACACATACATTCCACTCAGAAACAGTGCTCTCTTTCAAGCAGCTAAAAATAGAAAGAGTGAGTCATCTTACCGCAATCCATCAATTAAGATTCAACTCGTGCTGGAGCAGGTTTTAGTGAATGGTAGTTCACTCCATGGTTCATTCACTCCCTTTCCACTTACTGTATCATTACTCTTTCTCGCCAATCTCACAGTCTTCAGGCTCCTTCTCTCCTTCTCTCTCTTTCTCTCCCTTCTTCTTTTTTTTCTCTCTTTGTCTCTCCCCTCCTCCAACTCTGTTTGATCTTATCGTGGATTTGTCGGCCCCATTCTCTGACACTGGCTGAGGTTCTGGTGTTCGATCTCCAGTTGCAGTCGAAAGGTTGCAGGTCTGCTGCAGAACAAAGAGTGAGGGCTGTGTGGCAGCTCACACCACATCACCTCATATCCATTTATAGAGTTTTATCAAAGCAGAATATCAAAGTCACTGTGTGGATTTGAGAATTTGAAAGTCGTATTTTCTCTTGCTCTGTTCGTAGGGAGCAGTAATTTTGTTTTTCTGTATTCATCTTGGTTCATAATATTCAGCTTTCAACCCCTTTGTATCATCATTACCCCCTCGTCCACATTTACTTTCTTCCATTAGTCTTTCCCCCATCTATTTAGTATTTTATGCCATTTACAAAATTTGTATTCTCTTTCCCACACATAAATCCATAAATTCACAAACTCACTCTCTTGTCTGCTGACCGTCCAATTTGCAAAGTCTAGGGCAAAGCTGAACTTGACAACCTTTCAAATATTTGAAGAAGAAAAAAATAGCAGACCACTTCATTAATCTCATTCCGGAGGTGTTTGAATGTCGTTGGGTGCTGTTCAAGTTTCTTGTAAAAATAAGTCAAGCACACCTTAAAGGGTAATTGCTTTGGGTTTTTTCAGGTGATATTAAGAAAGTCCTTTGGCTGGAGATCGGTCTAACACCTAAATTACACTGAAGTCATTGACTGTCAGATGTTGCCATTGGGGAGTCAGCCAGCGAATAAATGATCCCTTCAAAGTCAATTGATCCCTGCTACACTCGCTACATTGTATCACATCCAAACTCCAAGAGAATAACCAGCAGCAAGTTTTGCCCAGACATTACATTCCACTGTAATGTGTAAATGGGAGCAATTAAAAATAGCCTCCAACACATGAGTTCTCGCAGCCCATTAAAATTTTGCACTATAATTTATCCTGCATTCGTTGTGTTAAAGTAACCTGGTTTCTGTCGGCTTTCTGCAGGAACATGAAACATAATCATAAAACTTAATGTAAACAAGGAATGTAATTTCCTTAATTAAGGTGAGGGATTAAGAGAAACCTGCTTACCAAAGCAAATGCCTGCAGAAGAAACTCTTGGTCACAAATACACACAGCTATATTTTTAACAGCTGGGCACCCTGGTGGTCATAATGTTATGCAGCCCCATACGCAACAAACTGTGATGACACCTTTCTATTAGAACCAGCATTAGCTTTTTCATCAATTTGAGAAAAAATCATTACTCAATTAATCAATCTGGACTCTCCTGGAATCTCTTTTACAGACTGTTACAGTGAAGTTGTCGAGTGTTTGTGTGTGTGTGTGTGTGTGTGTGTGTGTGTGTGTGTGTGTGTGTGTCTGTGTGTCTGTGGAAAACATTACTGGCCCTAGACATATTTTCACACCTTAGATATCTGAATTATTTTATGGCTTGGTGATATTTTAATGGCCCCGTTTATTGATCACTAGATTCAAACTTTAAGTTGCATTTGCACTATGGCCGTCTAAATAAATCAAATAATAAACTTATTCATTCCTAAATCTAAAGTGCAACTAAAATACAATGTGTAACATTTAGGAGCATCTATTGGCAGAAATTTAATATGATATTCATCAGTATGTTTTCATTAGTTTATAATCATCTGGATATGGAAATTGTTGTGTTTTCTTTACCTTAGAATGAGCTGTTTTTATCTACAGACACTGCTGGTGGCCTTCCATGGAGCCTGCCATGTCTCTACAGTAGCCTAGAAGGGACAAACCAAATACTGGCTCTGGAAAGGGCATTTTTCACGAGTTTTGTGGTTACCGTAGTTTCTCCTACACATTTCACAACCCATTATCATTCCCATGTCGTCAAACGTGAGTCAGACGTGAGCAGTGTTCAGTTAGTCGCAATCTGCAACTTCACCTCTAGATCCCACTAACTCCTACACACTAGTCCTTCAAATAAGTCTGTTGTCTCAGCTAAACAGACTACAGAGCCTTTATCAGCATAGTCTCTATCTGAGCCACCAACAGTAATCACTAATACAAGTAAATCCCAGCCTTGTTTGAAAAATATAATAGGCGTTAGGGGAGAAATTAGATGAGTGTAAATGCGGGTTTCACAGTAACCAGCTTACATTAATTTCCTACCTCATGTAAACACAGTGATTCACCCTCCCACATGCAAAACACTAATTTATCCTGCATTCATTCATTTGCTCACTCTGCCCCCAAAGTGTTCAGTCCCTGACTCATTTATGTACTTGATACAGTACTTACAGTTTCTGTTTCCTGGTAGTCAGGGTCAGTCATCCAGGCATGATCAGGGCACAGTAATGAGTGCTAATTTTAAATAGCAGAACCGCAACATTAAAACCTCATTGTCATGCTTCACCAAACTTCATACTGGGCAACACTCAATAGGGGGCACCATCTTTTCAAATCAACGCACATGTAACTTCGGCTAATTCATTAGTGTAGAGCAGAAAGAGCAGGAACTGTTGAGAAGAAGCAAGGGTGAATTTAGGAAGGAGTCGCCAGAGTACAAGTAAATGTATGTAAAAATTATACTGGCTTTCAAATTGACTCCAGTGATGTGTGTAAAGTCCATACGCACTTTCAGTTATCAGTGCCGGTCTAGTAAAGGTTTACATTCACAGAAACATCCAAGAGGGAAATGTAGAGATGCAATCCAACCCACCAACATCAACCCACCAACACTTTAAATGTCTGACTACCAGAGCATTGTAAGGTGGGGTCAGTTATTCTGGAGAAAGTGGGTTGTTGAGTCTCATTCTCATGAATTATGGTAAATTCAAAACAAACAAAGTGGCTCAGAGCGAGCCACACAAAATAGAAAATGTATACCCAATACATTTAATTTTGACTACATTTAGAGCAACAACAATAAATACATATTTAGTCATTCTACACTAGAATTGTACTCCCTGCAGTACGGGGAAGGCTTGAAAAGCATATTTCAACCTTCATGTTGGAAAATAAAATGTAGTCCTTTATTTAACTAGGCACTAAAATTTCCCTTGAAGTTTTCTTAAAATAAAATAAAAAATATTCTGTTACTAATTCAGAGTTATAGTTTATTGTTATTTAAATTAGATTTGAGTTAGTTGAGTTTGTGAGCAGTTGTTACATTCCAGAGGAAGAGACAACCACTCCATATAAATGCATTGCTCACTCAATAAACCACAAAATAAGAGAGTCCCTGGTGCAACACATTATTGTCGTGAGATGATGACAATGATGTCTTGGGACTTGGCAAATAATGATTTATCAATAATTCAGACGTATGGACATTGTATCATATGGCCAATCAGTCTGCTTCATCTACTACTGGAAGTATAATTAACCTGAATTAGCCTGACTCTGTATTGATTTGCCATTTCCTTTCAGCCCTATCTTAGAGGAGGTCAGAATATTTTCAATCTTTGATCTTTGACCTTGTGGACGTGGTGTTTTCTTGACTTCCTGTACTCCTTAAGGACCACTTTATTGCTACTTTAGATAACCTTTTGCTACCCAGGAGCGAAGACATGTTTGTGTTCTAAAGTACAGATTGATTTATTTACAAAAATAGTTTTAATTGGAGCCATAATGAGGTTGCATAAAGAGGAAGTCAAAGCTTTTAACCTTAAACGCAGTCATTGGCTAGGAAAAGTCACCAGGTGGTGTTTGTGTGTTTTGGATGAAAGGCACTGTGGTTCAACTTTATGCTGATGCTCACAGTTTCCACACCTGTGCTGACGTTGTGACTGTAATTACTGATGCAGAGTGTGTGTGTGTGTGCTTATACAAGTGTGTGTGCACATCGCCGTATCTCTATGTACGTATACCAAAACATCTTCAGGGTAGGCAAGCCTATTGGACATAAATCTCACAGCCTCCTGGATGTTTTGTCTTCCTTCAGTCCTCATCCATCACAGACATGAAACTCATTCTCTTTTCATGAGGTGGACTTTGCTCTGCTTCTAACACAAAGTAATGGAGGTCACCTCGGCAAGCTGCTCCGCACTCATTTCCTCCCTGCTAACAGCGTCTCCCAAACGGCCTGACAGAATATAAAATGGCTCTCCAAATATGTCATTCCCCAGCTTTAATACTGACCACTCTACACCAAAGGTAGGGTTGACATTTCCTCACAACAGAGGAAGCCTTATTTTGAACCACTGCCTTTGACTCACTCTCATAGTCATGATACTACATTGAGCTGAAGATTTATGAATGTCAGACGCTCTAAAGGCCTCATAGGGACATTTCTGGATGGCTCTTGCAATCATTTTGGTGGAAAAAACAAGGATGATATTCCTTGTACTCTTTTAGACAACCACCTACTGTAAAATCACCCTGTAGTCATACTACTACTACTACAGTTATCCCATAATATATGAACTATATATGATTCATTTAGAGAGATGAGATCATGGGTGATTTTACAGTATATGGTTGTCTAATAGTAATATTGCAGGTGTATTTATGAAAAATCATGTAACTATAATAAGAAGAATAATAGAATAATGGATACTATACTTATAAGACGGGAAATAAAGAGAAAGGTGCAAAAAAGGTAACTGATAAAGGTTATTATCTTGTTTGCTCAAGATGATAACTTGTGTGCACAAGATAATTATCTTGTTTGCACAAGATAAAAAATATCACCTTACAGGCCTTTAGGGGCTCCGTACATAATCCAAAGCATTACACAGCGACCATACATCTCTCTCTGGCCAGTCTGTACCATCAAACTTTTGATTTACAGACCATTTCTGGTACAGTTCCAGTGAAAAAAAACGGCTCAGTGGGCACTAAAGAAGAAATACTGAAATGACAAAAAAAAGACAAAGAAAGGCTTAAGATAGCAAAAGAAAGAAAAAGATTGTGACAGTAAGCCAGCAGGAAATTGTGAATGCTAGACAAAGAGAGAAGAGAAAGCAAAGAAATTAAACGAGAAGGAGATGAGCAATTGGAGAAACAGCGAATAAGTGACAGATGGAAAAGCGTAGCAAAACTGGTGAGTACTGACAGGGTTTCCATAAAGCCAGTAAAACATGGGGCTCCAGGGAGTGGTGCAGGCAGCGATAAAGAGTCTCTGAGCCTGGGTGGCTGGATCAGGATCGCAGCCATGCAGGGGCAAACAGGATCACCATCACTCATTCTTCCTTCACATCCCATAATGTCCACTAATGTTGCCCTATCTGTCACTGTGTAACGTTGGTCACACAGCTGTTACTACATGAGAAAGAACAGTCCAAAGTACCTGACCTTACGTTAAGTAAGAAGCATTTGTCTTGGTGATTTTGCCAGATGTGTTACTTATGGAATAGGAAGTGAATAACTAAACAGATATTTTTTTGGTATTTGGGGGTGGTGCAACAAGTTGCAAGTTACTTGTTATCAAAAAGGCATCTGTTTCTCTCACCTAATGAATGTAAGTCCAACATTCACACTCTTTTTAGCTTTTGTTTGGTCTAAACCAGCTTCTGAGAAGAATTAACTGGCTCTATAGCAGCTAAATGCTGGTACTATGTGAGCCGGCTAGTTGCTGACTTTGTCTGCCTCATAAAAGTGTTGGACAGGTAGTGAACAGAGGGTGTATCAGAGCTTTATCACTTAAAACACTGCCTATGTTCAGAAAGGATGCTAATTAGAGTGGTGTGAGTGAACCAAAACCGTAAAGCTGTGGGCTGTAAATCCAAAACAATGAGCTGAAATGAGCTCAAATTTCCATAAAGCTGAAGGCAACTGCAGAGTCAGGTGATAATTTTATGTGGGGTTGTAATTACAAGTCTGCCCCTTCCCATTACACATTGTCATTTGAACCATTGTTCATATAAAAATATTGATTAGCAGCTTTAACCTAATGGAGTCCTGCCTACTGGGGCAAAACTGTTTCATAATAAAAAGAACTGTAGCACAAAAAAAGCCCATACCTTCCTTTTTCTTGCTTATTGTACTGTATATTTGATGTGATAAATCATATGACCTGGATTTGTATCACATAACAACACAGCACTGTAGCACTGTAACAGTTTAGCAGGCCGACAAAATATTCTAAAGATTACAAAACATTCAGTCAGCCATGAACATTTATACCTAAAATTAACTTTTGTAAGACATTATATAGTATGTAATGTAACATACAGCACATCTACTTTAATTTTTCAGATTAATTTGCTCTGCAGGAAACCTCCTCAGTCTTGTTGCCTTTGCTGCCTCCATAAATCATACAATGTTAACTTTCTGACAGGCAGTGTACAGTTAAAGTGCTCCATCCAGTCCCAAACCAATAAACCCAGAAGCACCGGGGAATGGTAGCTCACATAATGAGAAGCATTTTTGGTTTGTATCATTTCTTCGCATTAGGTGGAAGCAGCCACGGACTCTGAATCTGAAAGCAAAGGCTTGCGGGAGTACCACTCTGTTGGGATCCAGGTGGAGGACAACAAGAAAGGGTAAGATAATAGCTCTGGGATTTTAAGCTCATTAGAAAACCTCAATCTTCAATATTTGCTTTCACTATTATGAACAATAGTCCCATTGTCTCTGCCCTTATTTGGCCTGTGTGTGTGTGTGTGTGTGTGTGTGTGTGTGTGTGTGTGTGTGTGTGTGTGTGTGTGTGTGTGTGTGTGTGCATCTGTGTCTTTCTACTTCAGACAGGGCAGGTTTAAACGCTCAAACAGTGTGACTGCAGCTGTGCAGGCTGACATGGAGTTGGAGGGCTTCCCCATCATGGAGGACAAGGGCCTGCAGTTCGGCGGGGGGTTCCAGCGTCACTCAGAGCCCAGCACGCCCACCCAGTATGGAGCAGTGCGAACCGTACGTACCCAGGGGCTCTTCAGCTACCGTGAGGATTACCGTACCCCTGCTGAACCCCCTAGCCCCAGGGAGACCACCAGCGAGAACACTTGGCAGCTGGAACCCCCTTCCCCACGGGAGAATGCGGCCTCGTCAGGCGAGTCGGGCAGGGCATCCCCCTCCCTGAGGAGGGACGGGAGCTGGTTCATGCAACTGCTCCACACGGAGACCAAGAGGATTGAGGGCTGGTGTAAGGAGATGGAGGCAGAAGCTGAAGAGAATGACCTGTCAGAGGAAAGTGAGTGTTATGCTGAAAGCTCCTTTTGTGCAGGCAGATTGAACGATGAATTTTTTTTTAATGCGCTGAATGTGTGGCACTCTACTGTATGTGTTGTACTTGATATTTTATGTGTGTTTCAGTCCTAGGTAAAATCCGGAGTGCAGTGGGAAGTGCTCAGCTGCTCATGTCTCAGAAATTCCAGCAATTCTACTGGCTGTGTCAGCAAAACCTGGTAAGAACCCTATCAAAGAGAGGGGTGTGTGTGTGTGGTGGTGTGTGTGTGTGTGTGTGTGTGTGTGTGTGTGTGTGTGTGTGTGCGCGTGTGTGTCTGTGTGTATGTGTGTGTGTTCTAAGATTTGTCTGAATTGATTTGTCCTCCTAACTACATTTTTCATTGTCCTTCATGCTAACACTATCCATGACATTCACTGACAATTAGGGACAGTAAGTCTTTATGCAGCGTACATAATTTGTGTATGATTACCCATGAGTAGCAAAACATACACCAAAAAGAAAAGTGGAAAGAAGTTTACAAAGGAATAAAGGTGGGAGAAATAGACCAGCTGCCATTTTCATTATTCAAACCAATATATATTATACACTTCTGTCATATTGCAGTATATAAATCATTTCTGAGTCTTAGTAGAAAAGTCAGATTTTGTTATGGCAACACAGACAAACTTAACATTCATGTCACATGTTGCTCAGCTCCACTTTTGTAGCCCATTCGTAAGCTCCAGATCAGAATTTAAATAATGAGACTCTATTCAGCATGTTCCTTTATGCACAAGTCATCAAATGAGTATGATGCTGCTGCGTAGTGCACAAAGCATACACAGGCTGCGCTGTGAAATTAACTTTTATCATTAGAAACAGTTCCACACTCCTTTATGTGTTCTCACAACCTTTGTTCTTGAACCTTCAATACACACATTTATAGCTTTAGCCGGCACTAACTAACTGAATCAAAGCTCCCTGAATATCATTGATTGTGGAAGGCTACAACACTGAGAATCAATAGCTATCTAGCACATTTATATGTGACCTGAATGTTTTCAAATGAACAGTACACGAGCGTGGATGGGTGTGTGTTCAGTAATGCAGCTTTGTCCTGAGAAGAGAAGAACAGAAGCCTGAGCCAAACCTGGGTTCAAACAGATCTAAATATCCAGACACCAGCCGCTCTATTGCTCATCCAGTGCAGGAACACGCACAGGGTCAGGGATTTCTGCCTCATATTTTTCATGCACTGTTCACAACTTGTTTTGTTGATCTGAGCCAAGTACCCAATATCTCAAATGAAGTTGGTGCGGAGTTATGAGATAGTGTTGCTGTTTTTTGCAATGAGCAGCAGAAACCGCTCATTCAGTAGGAGTAGGGAGTAGGAGTTGCACAGGGATTAGATTCCGTGAACCAGCCTTCTAGACCAAGTCAAGCATTATTTTGTCCCACTGAAGGACACCGTGTCATGCAAGTTTACTTAACGTTTTTATTTGAAAAACCTACAGCATTTCTCCACATGAAGAATGGAACAATATTCACTTCACACTTGGACTTCCTTTGTGAAATAAATGCCCACAAATTAGAAGCTTAAAGATATGTCTAATTGCGCTAATCGACCTGCTTCTCTCTCCCTCATGGATCAACTTTCATAAAACTTGACTTAAAAATACTCTAAAAGAGAGACAAACAGTGTGCATGGAGCACTTCTCTGGGAGGAGCTCCAGGATTAAAAGCAAACACTGACACAGCTGAGGCTTAAAACTCACTGACTCCTCCTAAATCTGCCAGCTCGAGATAGTTGAAGCCATAAGACTTCTGAGACAGTTTGCAGAGCATCACAAGTTCAAGGGTCAAAATAAAGCTGATGAAGTGCTGTGGCACTCCCTCTGTAATTACAGATAGCAGAAGTGTGTTCTGTTCCCAGCTTACCTTACATGATGGATACAGTGATATTTGAAATGTGGAGTAATTTAGATACATTCTTTTGCTGTACAAAAGAGCATTATACTAATCTCATAATACTTTACAAATATCAAAACAAAACACAGACTCTCTATTGGAATATTATGCAAATTTGGAGGATTTGGTTCATGTTATATGAGATTTCAAAAAAATCAAGTAAAATAAGGTTACTGTAAACTTAAATCTCTGTATCACTGGCACAATTAGAAAAAACTGATCCAATTTAAAGTCATCTGATGGATTGTAATTTAAGGAAATAGCCAAATATAATGTCCACTTTTCATTCAAATTTTGAGCTTGTTTTTTGTGATGCCTTAACATTTTGTTGTGTTTAAAGTGAAAATTATATATTTCTTCTTAAAACATGTGGCAGGGCATAATGCCACACTCCAATGCAGAAAGAACCACTGCAAACGGTGATCATTTAAATTATGTAACGAATCACCCACGACTGTAGCATAGAGAATACCAGGCGCTGCTGACATATTGTAAATCTATTGGACCATCAAACAGCAACACTCCTCACCAGCCACCTAATCTAAATGTCACAAGATTCAGAGTGTAAGTGTGGGAATGTCTCTGGGGTTATTGAGTCGACACGTCCCATCACATGTATTGTTCAAGTAGGTCTGCGATTTCTGAAATCTTTCTGATGCAGCTTAAGTTGCTGATTCTGCTGCATTCTGAGACAGACTGGAAGAAATCTGCAGCAGGTTGACTCAACCTCAAGTACAATTAGTTGCATTTATAATCACAGAATTTTGTGCAAGAACATCATACAGTATGTGAATAGGGAGAGATAATGGAAATTTGGCAAATACTCGGCCAAAGGAGGACATGGGCCTGCAGACTCCAAGTCCACAGAGGTCTGACAGGTTTTCTTAACATTTATCTGGAACACATGAAAACCCGGGCCACTGCGGTAAGGACTCAGCCTATATGGGGCGTGCACTCTACCAGTTGAGCTATTGTGCGCTCCAGACAACCAGACAATCTGAATGAATTTCTGCCCTGGACTTTTTAGAGTCATAATGAACAGTTTCCCGAGTGCTCATTTTCTTAATAATAGTGGGAAAAGTGCTCTCATTCATGGATTCAACATTGCCTCTTAAACGTCCAGTCCTTGTTATTATTAGCACCATGTTGTATAAAAATGGTCCTGAATAAATTGTGGTGTGTATGGAGCTCCTTGTATGATGAGGCCATTGTTGAGACAACACTGTCTTTCACAACAGTGTTATACTATAGACCAGTTGTTTCTGCTCAGAGAACCAATTTCTGATTGAATTTCTGCACTGGACTTTTGATAGTTAAAAGTGAAAATAAATTCAAATCAGTAATTAAGATTAATGATATGCACACATTCAGTTCAAGATCATTTTCACAAATTAGCGTTATTTTGTCATGTTACAGCCACACACAGATTAAACACAAAGCAAAGATTGCACAGATTTAATATTAAATGTTATTAATAGTTGTAATCTTTGTTTTAGAATATAATGTGAATCACTGACCTTGTTTTCCACAGCAAATGTTTTGGACTACAAAGTTTCACGCCATTATTATGGTTTTCTAAACAGACCATGTGTCTCATAAACTTTGATTCCTTGAGAGAGCTACTTAGTAACATACCGTATGTGAGCTTGTTTTTTCTGGTAACATATACAGTCATAGTTCATGTATTTTTACTGACTCATCACGCTCATTTGCTGTTTGCATTTCTGCGTGTATTATAGTAACAAAACAGCTTATGTGTTTTCATTTCATACATCTCTGTTCGTATCCATAAATGTTTGTCTTATAAACAATGAACATGTGGCCAGGGGAGACAGAATTCATGGAAAAAAAGTTGTATTTATGGATTCATACATTTGAAATTACCTCAAAATTCTATTATTGACATCAAGTATTACCACAGAATCGCATCCAATCCAATCCAACTTTATTTGTTAAGCACCCGCATGACTCATTAAAACCTGCAGCAACTGCAGGGCCCGTTGCAGAGACAATGAGGCGCTCCGCAAGCTGATGTTTCTTTCATGTCAGGAAGTGATGAAAAGGACTGAACTGACAAAGGCAGTTTATTATTTCTGAGCTCATTCATGGAAATAAGACAGGATTGTTCTCTGTAACAAGTTATCAGTCATTTCAACCGAAATCCCCCAGACTCGTCTGTTTTGAGTCTGATAAGGACATCTAGTGGATCTAAGCTGAAGTACAGTAAGTAGTCACCACAGACATTAATATTACCTTTATTGTAACTCCTTCCACCTGCGTCCTTCGTAGGACCCCAGTGCCATGCCGCGGCCCACCTCTCAGGACCTGGCTGGGTTCTGGGACCTACTGCAGCTATCTATCGACGACGTCACCGTGAAGTTTGACCAGCTGCAGCAGATCAAGAACAACAACTGGAGGACCATAGACAGCCCAGAGAAGAAGGTGAGGGATCGCCTTGGTACTAAACAAAGACATTAGACATCAGATATCACTGCTTTTTTAGATGCATGTATTTTGTATAATTACTGTGATAAAACCAAAACCAACCAGCTGATCAAACACTTCATTATTCCCTCTTCTACCTAAAGCCACCAGCTCCCGTACCAAAGAAGACAGTTCGACAGAAGAGTGTGATAACGAGGGAGAAATCCCTGGACCTCCCTGACAGACACCGGCAGGAGGCCCGTCGGCGGCTCATGGCCGCCAAGCGGGCAGCTTCCTTCCGGCAGAACTCAGCCTCGGAGCGAGCAGACAGCATTGAGATCTATATTCCTGAGGCTCAGACTAGACTTTGAGAAAATAGGGTCCGGGGCCGACACGTCTCCGTGCTCCCACATTCAAACAACTTTAAAACTAGCCTTTTTTCTAGACTGCTACTCTCTCTACTCTTCCTTTATCCATCTGTTGTCTGATCTCAATAGCCATCCTCAGTGCCCATCGCCAACACCATTGGTCTGTAGGATGTGCCAAGCCTCTTCTCCCATTGCCAGAATAAGTGTTAGCAGAAATGTATGTCTGACATGGGTCAGTTGGGTTTCTCCTTGGTTTGCTGGTGATCATGATACCCAGCCTACAAGCTCTCTCATCCAATGTCCTGGATGGGTACGTCTGTAGTTTTTCAGCATTTGCAAAGTGCCATTTAAAAAGTGCAGCTTTGAAAACCTACCAGCAACCAGGCCTCTGAGCTAAAAAGAGTAAATGAGAGAAAAATTATATTTATTTCAAGTTGTTCAAATATGGTCAAAGTTAGTAACCCTTCAGTATTTTTCAATAATTTAAGGTGACATTATGATTATGCTTTTTGTTTCTCTGGTCTTTTTTGGAGTAAATGTTAATTACAAGCTAAATATCACAAATTGTTGTAAGTTTAAAACTTTTAAAAGTGCCAATGCTTGAAATACCTCAACTATGTGCATGTGGCACTGATCACCCATTCAAGGTTATTCAGGCAGCCCTTATAAGCTCTGGACTGGTCAGTGTTGAAAAATGCAGCTTTCTACCCAATCTGGTTGTAGTCAAACATTTTTCTTGGTCTGGATTGGTGGAAGAATGACATCTGTCAGCTCATTAACATGCACATTTCAAACAACTTCCCTATATATCTCATGTTCCTGTTGCCAACTTTCAAATATTGACATTTACTTGAAGCTGAAAACATGCAAGTCTTGTGCCAACATTTTCATTATGTCAATGCAGTAGAAAAAACTTCAAGGTTTGTGTAACTCCTTAGATCAAAATGTGTAGACAAATGCACTTATGCACTTATTACAATTCTCTCTATTTCCAAGGGAAATGTACATACCCAAGTTCACAATAGTACTGTTGTATTTTTGAATTGTGAGCGGGAAGAATATTCATCGTGTATATCTTTTTTCCCTCATGTCTTGCTTGCCTGCCCTCTCTATTGCTATTGGCAAATCTAGGTTTGTTGCATCCATACAGTGGTTGATCACACATGCAAAATCACACTGCTGTGTTTTCATCTAATATACTTCTCTCAGGCCCTAGCGCCCTCAGCCACAGTTAATGAGGAGTGATAGAAAAACTGCCAAAACAAAAACAAAATATCTGCATACTAGTTTCTTTAGTCCAAGAAATAGCTTGTAATCTTCATATTTCTTGAAAAGTTATGCGTTGCTGGAAGCAGTATCATAACTACATTCACTCCCTCTAGGAAAGGCTGGGAAATAATGAAACAAAATTGGGGCATAGGCAATCCAGGGGGATGCAAGCAGCAAATCCCAAATAACTAAAACTTTCTTGCTGAAAGGAAATACATGAGGAATAGGGTATTAACTGTCTGTGGCTATGCAGACCACTTTGTGATATTTTGTCAAAATATGATGTAGTTAGCTCAATATTATCATTTGCCTTTGATTCCCATCACAGTGTTCAGATGTACCAATTGCACCAGCTCTTCGTAACTTCAAACTTAGCCTACTAATAACTAGAGATCAATAAATTAAAATTGGTTGACCACACAAACTATTTCTGTGCTGTAGTTGTTGTAAAATACGAACACACACTAACTGCCAGGTGTATCTGCAACCTAGTTAACTCAACCAACTGACACAACTAAAGTTAGCTTGCTAATTTATGACCTGTTTAGATTGAGGAGTGATAGAGTTAATATTGTATATATCACCTGACACTTGATCAAAATATCTTCTTATAGCAATGTGTATTGTACTGATTTTAAATTCCATTTCATGAACACATCTCAAATTACATAACGGTATACTAATGACACACAGGCTGAATGACTAAATGTGTAAGTAAGTTAGTTAGTTAGTTAGTTACCATTGTGAACTGCATGAATACTGCTAACTCTCACATATTTGTAATTTAAATTGCCTAATGCTTACTAGCTAAGTCATTTTTTAAAAAGTTTTTTGTGTAACCTGATTTAGTAAATATCTAGTTTAGGACTTTACATTAAAACTGGATTTACGAATAGCTGGTGCAGCCCAATCATGGTACTGAATGTTACGTGAAACTAAAAAACTTAAAGTTATGGATGCTTTGACACAAGTCTCCATTGGTCATAGAATTTACTTCCAGGTGGTTGTAATTAAATTGCTCATGAAGATAAACTCATCTTGAGCAAAAGACAAAATTCTGCTGCTCTTTGTTGTCAGACTTCAGTGCCAGTATCTTGAACATCAGTCCTCATTGTGTTGCCAATGTTATATTCAAATCACTGACCTAAAGACTGAAGTCTATTGGTAAAATCTTTGGATAATCAACCAACTAAATGGTGCTGCTTTTTATTTAACAAATACAGTACTAGACAAACAATCAATGCAACACAGTGTGCTGTCAGCTGATTGATACATCACTTAAAAATCTATTTTTATGACTTGAAATTTTTGGTTAAGTGATTGTGCCAGTGTTTGTTATGGGTAGGTCCAGGGAGATTTGTCATATAGCAGTAACAACAAAGTACATTTCTCTGGAATTGAATATTTTGTGTATGTGTGTTTTGTGTGTGCATCTTGTTTTTGTAGCACAGTGCTGACATATTCAGAAAAGAGAGGGTGAATCTGGGGTCAGTGTGACTTGATTTCCCTATTACTACCCAACTGTGGCCTGACCTGCATCTCTCTTTCACACACAGATACACACACACATGTTGTCCCTATGTCATCAGCACTTTATTGGAACATATTTTAGATATCACAGCATAGCATATAATTTGCTGTTGTATTTTTGATCAAATACAATACAAAGCAAAGAGCTTAGACATTACATTTCAGAAAGCTAAGAAGTATATTCAGTCTGACAAATAACCAAAGTCAGTTCAAACATGCAGTGCCATACTTAAATTACAGATCGGGCTTTTAATAGCCCCCAGCCAAGTGTTAGATTACACATTTCTTTAAAATCATCCATCTATAATTCTGCATTTTTTTCATTGCAGAGGCAGAGACCTTTAAGAGTATGACAGTGGGTTTCTGGAAAGCGTCTGGGCGTGTGATGCCAGGCAGTTGGCAGAGCAGAGACGTTCCCCTGCTGTTGCCACAGTGGCAGGCAGACGGGAGAGAGACAGACTCGGCCTGACATATGCTGGCTTAGAGGAGACGAGAGCTCCGCACTGAACCCCAAACTGCTGGTGTTGTATGCTGTTGTGTAGCTGGAAGGCTGTTCTGTGAGAATCGCTAGGCGCTGTGCTGGGTATTTTTTAGCCTGCCTTTGACTAAGCAAAGCAGCTTATGTAAGATTTTGGGTCCTTGGTGAGATCAAGCAAACAGCCTCCAAGGCCCTTCAAAGCTTGTGTTGATAAATGTATTGCTGAATAGTGGCCTATACTGTAGAACTTAAGCATCAGCACTACATATATTTCTATCAGTCTGTGCTGGGCTAGTTTCATTGAAACAACAGAGGAGTTTCTCCCTTATGCAAATTGATCAGGGCTGTGGAAAAAAAGTGTATCCTATATATTACCTTGGTACAGTTTTAAGACTCATCTTTTGCTTCTCCAAGAGGCATGATTTGCATAATTGCAATGAGACCGTTTTCTGAGTTAAACCATGAACGGATAATTTTAAATAGAAATATGGAATCAGTTACAGAAGTCACGTGGGAGCAGAAAATGTTGAAAAGGATTTGTGCAATAGAGACATAGACTTTAGTAAATTTATAGCTACAGTCAGAGGTAAGAAATGGGCTTCAAAGGTTGCAGAAATCATACATTTCATTTGAGAACTAGAACTGAAAAATATCTTGATTCTCCTATAAGAGTCTCTCAGAGCCATTTTCTAAACTATGAATAAAATATCTTATATATAAAAGCTGGGTCGAGTTTGTCGCCCAGTAAGAATCATTTTACGTCTATGAAAAATAGTTGGGTTTTTTTGCCTTTTCACACATTTGTTGTCCATTAAGGTTTAAACAGGCTCATAGATCAACAGCTGTGAGGGCCTCCTTACACAGTGTTCTTGTTGAAACTTATTTAAGTGAGTGTTTTATGTTGGATTGCTTTGGCTGACGTACACTTGTGTGGTGTGCATGTGCTGTGAGCATTGGAGGATTCCTCACTTGTCTGAAAGTAACTGTGGTAATTATTCAGTTTTGAAAAAAATGTGGTAATTTAACAGATAGTCACTCACCAAACCTTTGTGCAAACCCCAAGGGCAGAACATTGCACCAGTGTCACATTAAATGTCATGAGGGCAGCAATTAACTACAAGTGCCATCTTTTTGACCTGTCCAGCATACTGTAAAATCATTACTCTGCACAGCCAAATCTCCATCAACTTCACGTAAGCAAACCATTCCTGCCATCGCCTACCTTGTCTCATTTCCAGTCACATATTTCTATCACGTCAGCTCGTGTCTCGACATCTGTGGCCTCACCTCTGGTACGACTGTCTATCTGCTTTTAACTCTAGAATCCATTATGTGAAATATTTCAAGGGGACTTTTTCGTAACCATGCTGTGGAAAGAGCGTCAGCCTCACTGAGATAGACTGATACAACACTTCCTTGAACTTGGAATGTGAAACCACTCTATAATTACTAGATAAAATGAAAAAGGTAGTTGTTTAGCTAAAACTATTTTCATCTCTTGTATATCATATCTATAGTGAGGATGAATATAATGCCAAATATTCATTATTTGTAAAGAAATATATATAGATATATAAATATATAATATATGCTTCATTGAAACATAACTATTTTCTGCATTTGCTCATGTTTTGTTGTCATTTTTACTTTGTTATGGTTATTTTATAAGCTGATATGATGGCATGCGAAATACTGATTCTGAATGTAGACTTATTTATTTAATTTTTTGGTTTAAGATTTTGACACTGTCCCACTGATGTGTTATGTATTTATTTAAGTCAATCACATATGCATTTCTCAATGTGTTATTTCAGAGCAAGTTACCGTATCATTGGGTTATTTCTTTGATTATTTTAGTCATTTGCAACAACATATGCATTTTTGTTCATTCTTTCCTAGCTGAGCTATTGAAAGATTTTGCCTCTTTGAGTAGTTTGATCATTGCTGAGGTCATCCAGTGTAAATAGTTCTGCAATTAAATTTTTGGAGAAAAAGTTTGGAAGAGTTTGTCTGTGTGGCTCCTTTTTTTTGAAAAATCAAACTGCAGACTTAGTAATACTCTCTAAACAAATTTCCCCCCGGGGATCAAGAAAGTATTTCTGATTCGGATTCTGATTGCTACTGTGCCAATTATTGATGCCAAATATTCATATTAGCAGACTATTATGAATTGATATTTAAAAGAGATTTTATTTCATATTGTCAGGTACCAAACTAGATTATACAGTCATTCAATGCTGTCCTAATAACAACGGTATTCCCAGTGGGAGTATTTTAGCTCACAGGTGGAATTTACTAAACTGTTCTTGCTATTTCATGCATTTTATGTCTGTATGCAGGCTGCTAACCAAAATAGCAATGAGATAAAGTTGAAGGCGTAGCTCTGAATCATCTGTCAAAGAAATGGTGCATTTAACTTTTACTGTTCTTGTGAGTCAGGACACTCACCAGCGATCTGGCATTTTATCATTGGTAGACTATAGTAACACTTAATAAGGAATGTAAAGAATATATATCACTTAATGTTTCATAGAGTCACCAAAACTGAGTAAGTTCACTTTGACTGTGATCCCTTAAAACAGATCCAAATTTTGAATTCACATAACAGTTATCGTTGTAAGTATTCATATCCGATCCTTCAAATCAAAAACAATACTTTTCAAAGACATTTTATTAGGATGAAGACACACTACAGAGATTAAAATCTGACATGATGTTTGTCCAAGAGGAATTCTCAGAGAAGATGCATGTAAAAAATATGGTAAATGGTTGTAGATCAAGACATGTTGACATGACAATTGTTTGTTTTTGATAATAGAATATGTTTAATGATGATAACAGACAGGTTAAGCATACATGCTACTGTAATGTTATTCTCCATTATTCTCCAGGTCCAAAACAAAACAACAGCACATTTCATGCACTGTTGCCATGCTGATTTTACTGGCAGCATTGCCCTATTTGGTGTAACAGACAAATGTCAAACATTGATTTCAATGCAGATTTTATTTCACTGCATCTCTTTCTGTGTCCTAAATACCTATTTTAAGAATGATATCCATTAACCATAACCCCCTTAATGTAAGAATGTGATGGTTGCTACAATGCATGAGGACAGTACACTCAAACTTCAAACCATCAAAACTTCCAATTCATTAGTATTAAAGGCCATGCACGCTGGTGTTTTCAATTACTCTGACTGATTAGACCTCTTCTCAGGTTTAAGATAGGAAGAGCTTTGCTGGCAATTGCATGAGGTCATCAAACACCTTGTACTAATAAGAGTGATGAAGGTGCAATTTGTAGGAAGATGAGAGGTTGTCTGCACATTTGCAAGGTCCCAAAAAATTCTATTAATATAACCTACAAGGTCTTTGTCAGGGAAATAGAAAGGTGTAATTTCTCACATCCTACAATGTGAACATACTGTTTAATCCTTTAAAAAAGGGTTTAAAATATTACAACTTAATGCTTTTTCTTCCACCTAAACCCCTGTTTGGGTTTATGTGAATTTTTTTGGAGATATCATAAAAAACTTAACTTAAACTTAAACTATAAGCCATTCATTAACTAGGGTTAGGGGTTATACCGAAAGATTTATAGAACTCAACCCTATACATATTGTCAATGAACTCAACTTAAACCTCTTGCCCTCTCTTATACAATCACATATACAAGGCAAGATCACCCCCTGTTGGACAAAGAAAGAAATTCATGACTTGTTAAATTAACAGATATTACAGATTCCTCAGTACACCTTTCTTCCTTTATTAACAAAAACGACTAAAATGTATTTAAAATTATGTAATTTATCCAAAATGATACATAAAACACAACAGCTGACTCTCTTGAAGACTTTTTATTATTCATCCAAGAGGTTTCATCAGTTCTGGCTACCACCAGTGAGCGATATCTTCTAAGACTTATAGATAGATATAGATAGATATTCAGTGGCTTGAAAGACTGTGAAACCTTATGAACATATAACCCTGATTATTGCTGTTGTGGGAGGTGAAATGCTATAACTGACTAGCATACCTGAGTAGTACCTCAGTATCCTAGTCTCACTGTTGTAGCAGCTCCTGCAGTCCAGATGCTGCATGGTGTGTGAAGAGGTTGTGCAGCTAAGATGGTGAATCAATCAAACCCCAAGCCCTCTCACATCACAGCAGGAAGGACCTGGGTTGTGTGTGGAGTCTGCATGTTGTTCTCGTGTCTCTGTGGATTTCCTCCAACAGTTCTGTTATTATCTGTCTGTGTGAATGTGTGTTATCACTATGGCGACCTGCCCAGGGTGCACCTTGCTTATCACCCTTCTTCCCAGTGCATGTAGGGGTAAGCTGTAGCCTACCATGTAATCACATATACTATAACAATCAAATTAAATGATACATTAGTATCCCTTCCATATCTATTAAAACATGTATATTTACATTGTATTAAAACAGCTCTTTATAATCATATTTGTGCAATATGTTGATGAATACAACATTATAATATGTAACACATATAATAGTATATTTCCCTCATACCATACACATTTCCCTTCAAGGCAAAACAACTACATTAACTGTGAGGTTGGTTTACTAACCAAGCTACACTATCTGGGAAATAACCAATAGGATGGGCTGCTGCCACAGCGCAGAGCGGCGTTGACCAATGGGATGTCCGGAGGTTTAAAGTGGGCGTCACTTCCGGTTTGCAGGTCATATGACCAAATTGAAGTCGTATGATGTGAATTTTTCCTGTTGTAGCCTTCACTATTGGCACCGGGACACCGTGTTCAGTGGAGACACTTCACTACGGTATGTGTGACGAGGATGTTAACTAGTTTATGAGTTATAATAGCCGCTGCTTTACACTCTCAGTGTTTGTCTGCTTTGTTTGTCGGCTCCACATTTCGTCGTCGTTGTTGTTTTGGTGCTAACTTTACAACACACTGAGGTTGCCTTTGACTCATCGTGTTTTTTTTAAGAACTAGACTGTGAAAGCTTAAATGGATAAAACGAAACTTATTATTTACTATCGAACTGGCTATCTTGTTTTTAAACCGAGTTACAACAGGAGAAGTGTTTGAGGTCCAGGCTAAAAGTCCTACAAAAGTTGGAAAAAGTCGTATACAGAATTGAACGGGTGACTAATGGCGATAGTCATGTGTGTAATTAGTGTTTAGTGAGTGATGTGCTGTCTGTCTTTTCCTCTGCAGCTTTTGTAGGTGACCCACACACCATGCATCTACCAGCCCCTGCTTACAGCCCCACCTGCAGCTGAGCCTCCCTTCACCTTGAGCTCCAGTATCCTCCCTGAGACACCATGGATCCGGTGCAGCATACCAGCCCTCCACCCCAGCCCAGGGCAGAATATTTTTCCTGGGACTACCGCCTCCAGCTTATTGGCTTGGGCTTTGGATTTTATGCAGCAGTATTCCTCATCTCCCACCTCCTGTCTGTGACTGTGTCCCGCACCTACAATTCCCTGCTAGCTAAGGAGAAGGTTTTCTGGAACCTTGCAGCAACTCGGGCAGTATTTGGCATCCAGAGCTCCGTAGCCGGTCTCCGGGCCCTGACTGAGGAGTCTGAGTTAAGCAGAGACAGAGTGCAGGGACAGGAAGACTGGTCATGGTTCACTGTCCTCACAGCTACAGGTTTCTTTGTGTTTGAGAATGTAGCACTTCACTCCTCCAGTGTGGTATTTCGGTCGTTTGACCTCCCGCTGGCAACGCACCATTTCTTCGCTCTGTCGGGATATGCAGGGGCGGTGGTGTGGGATTCCCTGGGCCACTTCCTGCCGATGGTCACGCTGCTATTGGAGATGAGCACACCATTCACCTGTATATCCTGGATCTTACTGAAGGTAGGGGTCCTAAAATGTCCTTGTGATCACTTTGCTCTATACACATCTTACTCATGGTTTCCTTCCTTCATCACATTCGAGCAGCACTTGCAGTTAGATTTTTGTCAGCTATCATAGACATTTCTGAAAGTGCAACCAGGTTTCAGTTCCTCTTTGGTCTTGTGCACCTTTATTATTCAACAGATAAAGTTTGCATTCTTAGAAAGAGGAAGTTCTATAAATGCAACATTGAGTCACGATCTGAACTTTCCTTCTACTCGCAGATTTGACTCGAGGACACACAAAGTTACATATATGTTTATTGTGATATTATTGTAAAATGGTAATAAGCAGGACATTTGTGTCAAATTTCTTTGCTACATCTTCCTCTTCCTCCCTGACAGGCTGGCTGGTCACGCACCCTGTTTTGGAGAGCCAACCAGTGGGTGATGATCCACACGTTCCACTGTCGCATGGTGCTCACCTACTACATGTGGTGGGTAACCTTGACCAACTGGAGAGAGCTTACCACCCACGTGGCCCTGCCCCAGCTTCTGCTTTTCTTCACTGGCCTCGCTCTGCTCACGTTCATCATCAACCCCATCTGGACGCACAAGAAGACCATGCAGCTGCTTAACCCCGTGGACTGGAACTTTGGTAACAAGCCGGCACCCCTAAATGGCGCTATGCAGCCTCAGTCAGAGGTTTCTGTCAAACCCCACGCCAGCTGAGGTCATTTCCTGTCTGAATGGTGCCATATTTTCTTCTATTTTAATGGATGAGTGGAGTAACTATGAGAGTGATGACAGTAAGATGTGTGTTTTTAAGGTTTATTCTAAGACTTTTTTTACACTATAAGTAGACTTTGCTATTTGAAAAAGCCCTGAAAGGTTCATCATGACTATCTGGTACTTTCTTGATAAAGTTTGTTCCGGTGTTTTCCCTCAGGCTTTACTGTCAGGCAGTTTTCATTTGAATAAGAATATTAATTTTCCATCTGGTTAGCCTGGCTTCTAATATGTAGAGGCAGTGGAAAGGGGCCCTGCTTCTTTCCATCACCTTCCAGACACTGTTGTGAATTATCCACTTAACCAGTCATGTGATTGGTTATTTATTCACAATTGTGAAAATACAAGAGACAACATTAAAAGGCACAAACTTATAATTAAAATCTTGTCTATCAGAAAAATCAGCTTATAGAATTTCATTAAGTTTAAAGAAACACAACAAAATGTAAAATAATACTGTGCAGTACTTAAGATACAGTATTTAAAGATTTACATACTAAAATGATTGAGATGGTATTTTACTATATATATATATCTTTGTCTACCCACAGCTGCTTTTTGTCTGTTACTGTCATGTGCTTGGGGACGTAATATGAAGGAGACAGGATGGGTTATGCTCTTTCTCAAAACTCTTGGATATACATATCTAGTTATTCAGCACTGACTGGGTGGTGCGGACAGGAAAACTGGTTTAGTTTAAAGAATTAGGTCCCACAGGATAGCCATTGGAACTATTAGATACTAAGTGGACAATTGGATCAGTGCATTCATGAGTCACATAGGTTTGTTTGGACTGTGAATCCTCTTTCAGTAGAGTAGTGGAAATATTTACCGTGGTGAAAGAAAAGGCCTTTAACAGGATCTTCTTTGTTGGTGGACGAAAGCTCAGGACCGGTCCACCCCACAAAGGGTCTTTTGTCCAAAATGGAGATGTAATAGCAAAGCTGAAGCAGTGTTGATAAGATAATAATGAGCAGCAATTTAATCATGGGTTTTTACTGCTTTTATGACTAAAATTAAATATTTTTCACTAATGCCTCATCAAAATTTCAATAAGATTTTTGTTTTGTGTTTTTCACACAATGTCCTTATTGTACTGAAAGTATTGGCTTTGTGTGTTTGGTTTGTCCATTGTCATATATCTGGCACAAGTCTTTGTATTTTTCTCACTCTGCTACAAACTTTCAGATCCTTAATTTCTCACATTTCTCAGTGTGGAGGCAGTGACAGCATTGTTACGGTAGCTCATATGTAATTATGTTTACATGAAATTGACTCTTACCATGAGTATTAATCTTTGTTAAGATTTGACCTTGAGTTCGGCTTGAGGGCTGACTCAAAATATAAATATAAATCAGTCCATTGCAGTGGTTACTGAACAGTTGAAGACATGTGGAACAACTTTTGCTGGGCATTTTATTGCCTGGTGTTTCTCACAATAAGCCAGTTTACTCCGTTATCTGTATGGATTTGCTGAGTCAGATCCAGAGCCCCCTCAAATCTGAAACGTGGGCCGATATGAGAAGAAATGTGCTGGGTTTTACTGATCAACGTTACCCAGTTGGCTGTAGTCTTCCTCATGAAACAGGCGTCAGGATGACTGAGACGAAACTACACTGTTTTTGTGTAGATCGTACAATCTCAGTGACTGAATTGATGCAAAAAAGTTTAAAAACAAATGTATTTACGCATAACATTTGAAATTTTTTAAACAAAAAATAATTATTTCTCCTTTAACAGTATTCCTGATGTTACTTTAGCATTACAAAAAAAAGTACTAATATCAGTTGGAGTTGGATTTTCATTAAGCATTTAACATCATCGAACATTGATGATTCCCTGTAAGTTCTACGCCAGATGCCAGAATAGTCAACATCCTGTTTGTGTTGGGAAATTTGAGTTACAAAATAAAATATTTTCTCTCATGCAGTATTTTGTCTATTTGTTTTGCTCATATTTATAATGTATTAAGGCTGTGCAATATAGCATCTGCCAGTAGATGGCACAATAGGAGTAATTATCTATTCAGTACGTGTACCTAGGTTTTTTTTTTTTTGACCAGACAGCCATGAGTTTGACACGTCCGGTGCAAACTTTGCTTCCCCTTAAAAGATTAACACAGCCCTTTCAACAGGTTTATTTTAGAAGCAGACATATCTATTTCTAAATGAAGAGCTGATTTCGTTTCATATTATATGTTTAATAAAACCCGGTAATGATATCAAAACTTAACTTGTTTGATCGTTTTTTCCACAGAATAATACAATAATGGGGCGCCCAGATGCCTCACCCAGTAGAGCTGGCGCCCCATGTACCAAAGCTGAGTCCTTACTGCAGTGTCGACCGTGGGTTCGACTCCGACCTGTGGCCCTTTGCTGTGTGTCATCCTGTGTGACCCAATTCAGCTGTCTTAAAAAGGAAATAAAAGAACTAAGAAATAAAAACAATTGCAATTGGTGTGGAGAAGTTAACCTCAAACCAGTTAAAGCTTTATTTCTAACAGGACCTTATTTATATTTAATTTGTTGTGTGTAAATCCAAATTAGTTAAAATGTTATACAGCCACTTAAGGACTTCTTTTAACAACATGTCGTTTTGTTATAGTATGCCAACCTTTTTTCCAAAAACAAACCAGAATAAAAGTGAGCGTTAATGCGTGTCAATCAGATTCATTAAGTCAAGTAATTTGACTTAATTATTAAATGTACTACCAATAAGAAGACGAAACAGCCATTTTCCTGAACCAGATTAGAGTTTTATTTGTCAGTTATAAGGGGAACATTTTCGTTTATACAAAGCAAAACTTTAATCCAACATCATGTCCGGACCGGACAGCTGTTTTCGAGGGGAGCCACCAGCCACCTCACACATCACGTGGACAGATTGGAACTCCTCTGTCCGACCCGAGTCGATCCTGCCGGAGGAGATGTTGGAGGCTTGATTGACGTCCTCTACGACCAATCACAGCTTAGAAAGGTCCACTCGTCGGCCAATCACCTGCTTAGAGGAGGTAAAGGGTTTTCATGGATGGAGTCAGCTTGCATCGAAGGGAGTCAAGTTAAAAGAAGGACACTGAGCGAAAAGTGGATGTGTTTTGATGTGTTTTAAGTTGTGTAGAAGTCAGAAATGAATCACGTTTAACACTTGTACGGTGTTACTGCGAAGGGATACGTCAATTCTTCTCGGAAAGAGTCATAAAATGGTGAGCTGAGGACTTTTTTGTGTGTTTCTGACAAAGTTTTAAATATGCTTAAACATATCTGTTTTGCTAACTGTACGTTCAGGTGAGGAGTACAAGTCGTTCGGCCAAATAATTGATGAAAAGAGATACAAAGTGTGTATTTTGTGTATTATAGTGACTTCAGTTTGGTTTAGTTTTTTAAAACAATGTACTTAGAGATGGTTAAAACGTGGCGCCTCAGCTAACTTTGCCAAGTGCCAACACTGTCAACTATCTGCTATAAGACAGTCAGTCAAGTCTCTCTCCCAGAGCATTAATGTTAACTAATGTGTCCTAATCTCGAAATGAACTGTTACAAGAACTTGAAATGTCTCAGCTAAACCTTTCCCGTGATTTTGTTTTGTTGAACACATCAACTGAACAGGGTACTAACACATCTCCTCAGCCTTTTGACTCTGTCATGTAAAATGTTGATAGATGTGATCCCACCCTCATACAGTTTAGATCCCCCTGTTCCTCTTCAATGATGCAATTGCAGGTGCAAGATAGCTGTTTGTACTAAAAAACATGTCAAGTTTGCAGTCTACCTAATAACCACAACTTAAGTCATACAAAATATATACATAGAAAATATAAGAATCCATGTGGACTTAAACGCTCACCTAAAATATCAGCAAGTGTCTTCCTGAGCTGCAGTAGTAAGCCCAACTACAAATTCAAGTAGTCATGCATAGCATTCCTCAGTGAAAGCACTGCACAACTTCAGTCAACTGGAAGATCTGTCTAAACAGGTTGTAAAACCACCATTTAATTAAACTGTTTCTCTTGGTAGTTGCCTTTCTGCACAGCAAAAGACATAATGCTTTCAGCAATACATTAAGCTTAGCTAAGCCTCCGAAAAATTAAAATACCATGAGTGGCTTTAGTCTACATTTGTAATGTCTGGTGTCATGCATGCCCACATCCCTCAGTCAGTACATGGCTGAGATAGAGCACTCAGGGGGTCACACGCACATGCATGTACACAAAAATCTTTACTGGTAGGTAATTTGTTAAACAAATAACCACGTGGTCTGGCTGTAAACACAGATGCTTAATACCTCCCCCACTGTAATAACACCAAGCGAGTGCTGTCCAGGGAGGACAGATCATTTTTTCCATGCTTAAATTCACTGGAGTTTCCTAATGTAAGCACTCATGTAAGTGATGTAGACAGAATCTTTATGAATCAAACCACAGCTGATTTCACAGTGCATGTTTTCAGACACGATTGGGCCAAAACTATTTGTGTTTTTAGGGAAGGGGTGTTAGCAATCAGCACTGATGCTGTTTGCCATGTCTGTTATGTAGCTGCTTAGGGAGAAAGTGTTTTTTTTAAAAACCCTTTTGTCTTCAGTATAAAAACATGGAGCGTAGCCAACTGCAATATGTTCTCCAGTCATTGTTATAGTCTGTGAACACAGATGTAGCTCAGTGGAGAAATGCCAGGAATTGCTAATTGCTAAAGTAATTGTGACGAGGCAGTAACTCCGCTTTGCCATTAGAGGCTCATAGAAATGCCTTCTGTTTACCGTGACTAAGCCTGGGGTGTCAGAGTACACAGTGGTTGAGCAGAGGAGCATACCATTCATTTTTAGAAAGGCAGTTATGGATTCACTGTCCACCCACCACCCCACCAAGGATCCAGATAAGACATGGATTAGCAACATAGTTCAACAACAGCTGGGAAAAAAGGCCACTGCTCTTCTGCAGGTGGATGGGTGAAATTGCTCACATACCACACACTTGTTAAGCAGTTGATAACGTGCCAGATAGATTTAGTGCATAGTGAATATTGATGGCTGTTATATGCACCTTGTCATTCATTGTATGCTGTGATTTTTTTTTTTTTTTTAGCATTTTAGCCTTTATTTGACAGTAGACAGTATATAGAGGAAGGAAATGAGGGGGGATGGCCAAAGAAGGTTTTGACATATCACCAAAGACCCCAGCAAGAAAGGACCCATATATATTGCAGGTATGGTACATGGCAGGCATCATATACCACCCAAGGTGCCAAGATTCCCCTGATTTAAACGCCTGTGTTTGTACCATCTATGAATCAAGCTACACATAACTACTGCATAGCGATTCCTAATAAGGATGAGTTAAGTCAGGGGTCAGTGGCAATCTTGGCGGTCTCCACCTTTGGAAGTCACTGTACAACGACTGGTACTCTGATGATCAAGAGTACTGTGGTTTTCATGTGGTCATTTATTGTCCGAGTGAGTAGCTCTATTCATAAAATGCATTCAGAGCTTAAATCCAGCCAGTCAACAAAAGGTCTTTGAAGCAGCTGCTTGTCCACTGCTCACCACACACTAGATAGTGTTCTTCTAGTGACATGTTGGGCTCTAAAGGCTTTGGTGTGGCTCGCTGGGAGGGTGGAGACCAGTTAGGAGTGACAGCCAAGACTGCGGTTGTCTTTCTTTTCAAATGGACACCATGTTTCAAATATTTTACAGCCCCAGGCTTTGGCTTTGTCCAGTGCCGGCAGGGCCTTGTCAGTATTTTGTCTCTTTTACTGAAAAAAGAGGTTAAAAAGTTTTTGTTTGTTTTTTAAAGTAAAAAAAAAAACATATTATGGTTGTAAGGTGAAAATGTCTCTAATGGAGTATTGTAATGTTTTCTGATGCATGATAATGTTTATACTATATGCTGTAATGTGATGGATGGATGGACGCATGCAATAATAAGTCACTGTGGTAGCTTAGCATTGGCCACATTCTGTTTAGGAACACGGCCTCAGAGCTTGTTGCCCCTCATATGTCCAATAGATCAGGCCTGATTAATGGAATATGTTGCCTATAATCCACATGCAGTAGGCCTATTATTATAACTGGTAGCTAATGGGGAATACCAGACTCATCTTCTGGCTGCGATGATTGTTCAGTGTAGGTTGTGTTACACAGAGTGGGGGATTGGGTGGCGGCGTAAATGCTCTCCCGTACATGAGTAGACTACTACAGAAACAAAAGGAGATGTAATTATAAGGAAGACTCCTTACTTAGCTGTGATTTATTTTGATATTTGTGTGCATGCATATGCTTCCAATTTGGCATTTTGCTGATCTAATCAACGGTTTCAACTTGCCAAGAATCAGGATTTCTCACTTTCGAAAGTCAGCTATTTTGTGCCTGTTTGAAAGCATCCCCACCCTTTTTGAGGTCAGGTTGGGTGGTGAAGTATGGTGTGTTGTCAAGGCTGGTTGTCCCAGATACTGTGATACTGTAAGGTTGATCTTGAATTAGCTAAAAAGCATTTGATTTGAGACTTATGGAACAGGCTGTACTAGATGATAAAGTAGACAACTAATGGATGTTCATCATATTGTCACCATGTTGTTTACAGTTTGAGGAAATTAGCGGTTTGTGGTTTGTGAAAACTGGTTAGCTTTGTTGTTTATAGTATAGCCACAAGCAATTTATAATGATGTAATAGTGAAAAATTAGGGATGCACTGATTGGAAAATCCTGATACTGATGTTGAAAATAACAATTTGGCCAAAGCTGATAGTGATGTTTGTTGATGTTTTGTTGTTATTTTATGCATCTCTGCCTTGTTGCTGCTCTTTTCATCCAAAATGTGAGATGCAGAGCTAAACAGCTGCTCAATGTCCAAGCTGCTGCATGGAGCACATAGGTATTTGTGTGTAGTTTGTGCCAGTGTTGGAAAAAGGAGGTGATTGTTTCTCCAGTATCCAAGTTGG